CTTCGTCAGCTATTCTGGGATCTCATGTATGGGTTGGGAAAGAGAGGGGGGGCGGTGGCTCACGAGGCTAACACCACGAGGAAGGAGATGAATCCCCCCGGGATCCCGAGGAGGAGGGTGTTCAGGGTGTTGTAGCCGAAGCCCTTGAGGATGAGACCTGAGAACTACCCACCCAAAACCAAGTTAGTAGTTGGAGAAAGATGCAGGTTTTTCGACGACAGAAAAGTCTACTAACCGTAGTGTACCCCCCGTTGGGGATATTGCAGCCCAGAATCAACACCCCCAGGAACCACGTCTTGGGATCGGTGCACGCCTCCACCATCTGGCCCTTATCGATCCGATTCGTCTTGTATCCGGCGCGGTTCGACTTCAGGCGCGCGACGGCGATGGCTCTCTCCTCCGGGGTGAGGAACGTGGCGTTCGTGGGGGAGTCGGGGAGGCGGAAGAGCATGACCACGCCCCAGGTGAAGGTGACCAGGCCGAAGATGATGTACAGCCACTGACGGTGGTTACACGGGTCAGTAACCAAAGTCAAGTGGGGAGGGTGGGGGTATTGCGGACTCACCTTCCAGGTAGCCAGACTGGACTCGATCTGCCAGATCCCCACGGCAATCGCACCGCCGATGATCAGCGACAGCGAGTTCCCGCAGAACCAGATCCCGTGGCGCAGGGGCTGCTCGGCGGTGCGGTACCAGAGCGAGGTCAGGAGGCTGAACCCGGGGGAGACGCTGGCTTCGGTGCAGCCCAGGAAGAACCGGGCCACCATCAGTCCGGTGAAGTTGGTCGTGGCCGCGTGGCAGGCGAGCACGATCGCCCAGACGATGCTGTTATCCGCGTTAGCCACGGTCCACCTCGCCAGAACTCTGAGAGAGTGAATCCCATACTAAGTACACGCCAGATACTTTCCCAGGGGAAAGCGAACCATCAGCAACGAGGCCGGATAGCTTTAGAGCCCGTCAGTGATTTCCCAGCACTCAAAGTCCTTCCACAGAGCTCAGACCAACCTGAATGCAAGATAACCAAAGTAGAAAATGGCCGACGACCAACTATACTCCGCCCCCGTCAGGCGCAGATCCTCCATGATCCCCATGATGGCCGCATAGCTCAGGGTCTGTTTGTCCATGAAGGACATCATGTACGCGACGAGCATGATGGGGAGGATCCTAGACCATCAGCATCAGCATCACTCCAGCCCTCCTCCGCCCGCTGATTCCTGGGAGAAGAGGCAAGAAATACACACATCAAATCAATCTTCCGAACCAACTTCCTCTCCGCCTCGGCCGAGAACTCCGTCGATGAGCCATGCTCCACGCTCTCGCAGGCCCCAAGCTCCGTGCCCATCTCGAAAGGGGGCTTCTTCTCGTCTGTGGAGGGTGCCATGTCTGCATCAAAATCAATAGCAATCAGACAGAAATCCAGAAACAGTTGACCTTAATGAAAAGAAGGAAGACGTGACTATCTCCCAGACTCACCGCACCCAGGGTATCCTCTCTTATAACTACCTTGTACAGTACTTACAACACATCTATCGCCACAGATGCCAAAACCCAGCACACATATGTACCCCAGCGTCAATCAAACCCCCCGCATTCCATTTCCCTTGTCCTCTGCCTCAAGACCCCGTGATAGCCATCCAGCAATCCAGACGTACTACGTGCTAGTAGGTCGGTAATGCTCTATCATCCAAGCGTAAGCGCCCCCCTACAATTGGCTGCGTCGGCAACGCTACTAGCGCAGCCTCTTAACTTCAAGGTTACCCCAAGCCTGAGCCCTTCTTTCCCGTGCCGAGATAAACGGCAAAGCTGCAGTGCCTGCCCTGCCTGTCCTCGCCTAGATCTCGGCTGGGGTTTTTTGCCCCAGGTCTCTGTGGTATGGTGGGTCCGTCGGTTTGGACGGTACGCTTATCTTGAGCGTGAGCAGTCTAGATCTATCGAGTCTGAGATGAGCTGATAAACTCTTTCCGTTTGCATGGTGTTTGATTCGGTGCCTGTGACATTGGTGGGGGGGAGGTAGAACCTCACCCTTCAGAAGATGGGGGATTATCTCGTGTCGCGGTTGCCGAGGTAGGTTCTGTGGTAGGCAGCAGCACTACTGTTGGTCGGGGATGATGCGTGGGCGTGGATGAAGAGGCTCGCCTGCGGGCGGTCTTATCGCCGATTTCCTATCGCTGCGATGCGGGAGATATGAGAGGGTTGGGCCCGTTGCATACAGTTTGGTGGAGGGTGTGGTAGGTGGCAAATTGGGTTTAGATAGGTCACTGGCTGTAGAGCTTGGCTGAGGATACTGTGCCCTTGGTTATCGTCGGTGCTATCTGCCTTACCGGTTTATGTCTCTGGATAAACATGGACTTTATTGGATGGCTACGCAAATCTGCAACTAGTTGCAATAAATATGGTCTTCCTCGTCGACATCTAACATCATGCTCGCTAAATCATGCTACACTAGTGGGCGGCCACCATCTGATCCTTGACATACAAATCGACGTACTTGTCCACGTCGTAATTCTCGAGAGCCGCCTGGTCCAACCCGACCTTGACAAGCTCGTCGATGCGAGCCTGGTCAAAGTGGGCCTGCAAGTGACGCTGGTACTTGGCCAGGATCTCGGGCTTGGCCTCTTCCCGACGCAGCCGGTGGCCCAGAGGTGCCTCGACGACCACCTCGTCCAGGACGGTGCCATCGTGCAGGGTGACAGTCAGGGCGTTGGCGATAGTTCGCTTGGACGGGTCGTGGTAGTCGGCGGTGAACTGAGGGTCCTCAACACAGCGGATGCGCTTGCGCAGGTCCTCGACCAGGGGCGAGGTGGCCGCCTCAGAGCCATCCGCATAGTCGTTGGCTGTCAGGCGGTTGAAGGCCAACATGGTGGAAACCATGTACTAGATGCAGTCAGTACATGGCCAGAGCCAGCGATCTCAATTTGCTTACCTGAACGCAGTGGTCGCGATCAGCAAAGTTGTCCATCGCCTTGAACTGCTTGTCGATAATCCGGATGCACGCCTCATGCGTGCGGTTGACGACCTCCTTAATGTCCTTGGCGCTCTTGCCCAGAGCCTTGAGCTTCGCGTTCACAATCTCCGCAGCCTCGATCGCAGTCTGAGAGTGGAACTCGGCTAGAATCCAGTCAGAGAAATCCCCCTCCATCGATGAGGCGCAACTTACCAGGATAAGACACCTTGAACAGAACATTCTCCATCACATAGCTGCCGTACGGCCGCTGGAACTGGAACTTCTTGCCCTTGAACAAGACATCATAGAAGCCCCAGACCGGAGCAGACAGAACCGTCTTCAAGCCACCCTCGCCCTTCTGCACCTTGAGCACCAGGTTCACGGCCCGCTGGCAGGCATCGCCCGCGGCCCAGGACTTCCGCGACATCGTGTTGGGGGAGTGTCGGTACGTGCGGAGCGACTGGCCATCCACGAACGCCTGGGTGATGGCGTCGGCGGTCTTCTCCTCACTGAGGCCGAGCATCTTGGCGACCACCGCCGTGGTCGCGACCTTGACCAGCACCACGTGATCCAACCCGACCTTGTTGAAGGAATTCTCGAGAGCCAGCACGCCCTGGATCTCGTGCGCCTTGATCATCGCCTCCAACACGTCCTTGACCTTCAGGATCTTGCCGTTGGCGAGGTTGCCGCCGGCCCGGTTCGTGCGGGAGATCCAGTCTGCGACCGCCAGGATACCGCCCAGGTTGTCGGACGGGTGGCCCCATTCCGCTGCCAGCCAGCAGTCGTTGTAGTCGAGCCAGCGGATGATGGCGCCGATGTTGAAGGCCCCGTTAACGGGGTCAAGCTGGTATGGGGTGCCGGGAACGCGGGTGCCGTTGGGCACAATGGTGCCCTCAACCACCGGGCCCAGCAGCTTGGTACACTCCTTGAACTTTAATGCTTCCAGACCACATCCCAGAGTATCGAGGAAGACGAGGCGGGCAGTATCGTACTATAACGATGGGAGCGGTCAGCGATGCAGCTTTGTATTGGAGAATAATAACAGTGGTGAATGGTGGAATGGGGGAGCCCCGCGTGACTTACCGCCAAGTCGGAATCCACCTTGTAGTTGTGGATGTAGTTGCTCAGCTCCTGGATCTCGGGGTCATAGGGCCGGTCGGTGGGAATGGTCGGGGGAGCTTGCTGCAGAGACGCCATGGTTGAGAATCGCGAGGTACGGGGGAGCGTCGAAGGATGTGTTTTGGATGTGATGTGGGAGACACTGGAGACAGAAGGTCTGGAGAGGGAGGCGATGCGGGAAGAGGAGAGCCAAGTGCGGGGAGGAGACCTGTGGGTCAGCCGTCTCAACGCTGAACAAGAGGCAGACATGATGGAAGAGAGGGTGATAAGAAGAGAGAAAACGGGGGCGCAACAAAATACCCAATGGAGTGCACAATGAGTGTGAGCTATGGTAGGTAGCAGGATCACTGGAGTAGGAGAGGAAGGGAGAAAGAAGACGGAGAATTGAACAGGAATTAAGAAAGGGAGTGAGTGACCGACCCTGTGCTAATGCTGGGGGAGTATAACTACTCAGTATGGTAAGGTAACTAACTAGTAGGTAAGGTACAGTACAACCACCCTGTTTACCGCCGGGGATTCGGACCGAGGCCGCTTGGTTGCTTTGTTTATGGGGGCGGCTATCACCGGCTGTCCGAGCGCTGCCCACTCACTTCCACCTCGGCAGGTCTTATTTGGTCTTATTTGGTCTTAATTTTGGGGTGATTCTGGTCGGTTTTTTGCTCGACTTTACTGAATTTGAGTCAATTCCCTATCCATATAGACTGCGAAAATGATCTGATATCTCTCATTCAAATAGACACAGAAGACACAGAATTGAGAGAAGACGACCGTTGACAATGGGCATCATCATCGGCATCATCATCATCATCATCATCATCATGTGATGTTATTTCCCCTCACTCCCGTAGACTGGTGTAGACTCCACTTGACCCCATCTGTCCGTACCCATCGCGGGAAGCCATACGGAGACATGCCGCAAAGCTACCTGCCTGTTTCATTGCAATCCGACCCAGCCTCCCCCAAACCCGCCCCAGAATCACCTCAATCCTCTTCCTCTTCTTGTTTCTCCTCTGCATCTGTCTCGTACACCACATCTTCCATGCCGTTCGGTTGGGCAGGAGACTGCTCTCCACCAACATCAGGTTCACCGCCGCCTAATTCCTTCTGCAAATACGCGACACAAGTCTGGATCTGGGTGAATGTCTCGATGGTTGCCTCCATATAGGCGTCATGATCTTTCTGTCTCTGTTCGAGCGCCCTCAGATACTCCTCATGACGTTTCTCCGCCTCCATGGAAGATGCAAGGTATATGTCAAAATGCTTTCTGGTCTGCATGAAAGAGTCACAGAGCTTGTACACGAGCTGCCCATGTGCAGTGGTCCGGCGGCGCTTGCGATCATTGTGCACGACTTCCTCTGCTCCAAGTATATCAGGGGTGCTGTTGATGCTAGGTGTACTAGCCGGGTCCTGCAAGTCTTCCGCATAGGCATGCTTGATTTTCCCTCTGCCTTTGGCGGTCGGTTTGATGTCAGGCGCCGGAGTGGTCTGCTTGGTGGAGGAACTCGACGCTCTAGGAGGACTGAGGAAGTCGGTAGGGCTACTGACCGCTGTAGTCTCTTTAGATGTGGCAGGGAGTGTGCTGGCTTGGGGACGAGGTCGCTTTATCGAGCGGGGAATGCCAGTCAGAGCAGTCGTGGTGGTCGTTGTAGAGGAAGAGCTCTGGCGATTGACAAGCTTGTCCGACTCCGAAGACTCTGTGCAGGTGAGACGCGGGCTCAGCTGTGCGAAAGGCATTATCTCGTAGGTGTCGGGCTTCTTGTACTGCAGCACCATGTCGTCCAGGCATACCGTCCAGCGGTCCGTTTCCGCTTTGTCCAGCCGCTTTGGAGTAGCCGAGTCGGCGGTAGTCACGGGTCTGTGGCGGGGTAGCTTGACGATGGAGCTGTGAGGTGGACGCATGCTCGAGGGCGGCAGTACTGGCCCGGCGATGATCGTTTTGAACTGAAATTTATTACCCGCTGCGTCCCGTTGGCGCTGGAGCAGCCAGGCGCAGTGTTTTCTACCTTCCTCGCCGCATAGAACGTAGTACCCCTTGAAGATCGGATATGCAAAGACCCCATGGGCGGAGATCACAAACGTCGGGCCACAGGGTACCCTGCTTTGTCGGACCATGCCACTACCGTCAAAGTCGGCGGGATACTTATCATGGCGCTCAGTGGTGGAGAGAAGCTTGATCGCAATATAGACCCATGCGTCGGGCAGGCGGACCCCGTAGGGAGGCCATCCATGCTGCGCCGGATCCCAGAACGTCGACAACAGTGGCCAGGGACCCCAGATCTCTAGTTGATCTTGTTTTTTGATCTTGCTTTGATTTTTGCCTATGGGTAAGCTGGGCCGGGGGGGCTTGGGGTCTCCAAGTTGCCAGGTGCTCTTAGGCGGTCGGTAAGTGGAACAAAGCTTCTGGCAAAGAGTCGCAAGTTCCTGCAACTGGATCTTGAAGGCGGGTGTGGCTTCAATACTTGGTTCAGGGATGTCTTCATCCTCATTCATTTGTGTTATGCTTCGGCGAGCCACCCGCTTCAATTGAGCCATGATTACTAGCGTGACTTGCACTGTGGTCACAGGGTCTGCACCGTTCAGTACACAGGTGAAGCAGCCAGCATCTTGATAAACAAGCGTCTGAAGGAGGCGGTTGAAAGGAGCGATAGTAAGAGATGGAAGGAAGGTAGAGGCAACGGCCTTCGGGGGACGAACGGGAAAGCGAGTCGATTTCGAGTGACACGGAATATGGCACAGACCACGGCCACTGCAGTGAGAAGTAGCGAACGAAGAGGACTGAGAAACAGACCAGCAAGTCAGTGGTAAAAGATGGCCTTCCTTGCCTTCCCGCTTTGCCTGCTGAAACTGAAACTGAGCACAATAATTCACCCACCTCCGTCAATCGGTAGTCATGTGCCTAGCCTCCGTTGATAATTCACCAGCAGAGGTCAGGTGGTTCGGAGATTCTTCTTGCTTGCTTTCAACTATTCCCAGGCATCTCGCCACTGAGCTGTAGAAGGCGACTCGAAGGCATGGTTGTTCCATCATTTGTAAGATTCCTACGCAAGTCCTGTAGGAACATACATACCTGACTACGGCAGATCCCAGTCACCATCCGTCGAATACGGATCCGGAACCTCATCTGCATTCTCGTATTCTGTCGATAGAACTGGTTAGTTTACTCCTTTAAGCACCTCTTAAAGCACTTCTCCTAGTACTTGGAGGCATGTTTTGAAGCGAGCAGGTAGCAGCATATTATCATATACCTACTCGAACAAGTAAGGCAGCGAGCCATCTTGGATAAAAGTCTCTGGTTGAAGTACCTCATCAGTTACGTTCCGAGATAATCGAAGCGCTGCTCCAGGCACCGTCTCGTTATGAGTACCTGTCCAGCAATCTCCAGGAATGAGAGCGAGGCGTCTACCAGGGTCCAATCCTAAGACTAGCTGACTCCGCCTCTGAGATGTATGTTTTGTACAACGTTAATCAGACAGTAAAAAAGATCCAGAAAAGATAGATCATTTCCAGATGTTTTCCTATCTTACATACCTAGAAACTTACTAGGCGATGAGCCCTTTTGTTATGCATTGCTTGGGAAACAGCTCGGAAAGATGCTCACATATGAAGAAGTCCTTGGAGAAACGTCCTGCTGTCTTGCTTGCTGGAAAAGATACTTAGAACCCCTATTGGAATTCGGCGAATCATAGGGCAAAGCTATCTGATGGAGGATATTGCTGCTACAAGTATAATGGCTATCATCCGCCGTACCTTCATCCGCCGTATCTAAAGTGGGGTATAAACACCTTCAATTCTTCTAAAAGGATGATATCTCTCATATATTATGATAGAATTTACAGTAAGATTCGTGGATGAATGGCTCAGTTATCAAGCCCGATTGTGTTTGTGGACAGATCGACTTGACAGTCGATGCTCCGCAGGCATATGATACAAAATTCCGAGAGGGCAACCCATTGTAGGTTTGGAAACTCAGTCCACGCCTGTGATACTAGGCTTTATCTCACCTGGCCTGGCTGTATTTACTCGGTGATGGGGTCGCAGTAAAATCAGGTCGTTGTCTAAATTTGATATGGAACTTTGGTTCCCAAAGGGCTTGTAAGACAGACGTTCGGACACTATATGGCTCAAATTGTCATTCTAGAACTGTAATACTGTAATAAGCAAGACTAGGCTTCCATAAAACCGATAGTCGTGCCGAAGGAAAGGCTATCATAGGCAGAAGAACAACTCGTAGGCAACTCTGATATCCTGAACCTCACTGACTTGCTTCCATCACCACACAGCAACCTGAGCATAAGAACATCCCTGCTGTTCCGCCGCCGAGAGAGGCTAGTTTCACTGAGGCTCCAAGTAAAAATTCAACGAAGACAATAGTCTGTAGCTCATAATTTCCATCAAGCAATTCAATGGCCATACACGCTAAAGTATATGTGTCAAACAAAACGACCAGAGGAGATTACAGACCAGATCAAACCTCGTTTGTACATGCAACCTTTGGTCTACCAGGGCCCATACCTCAACTCCCTCTCATCAGTCCGACGGAGCGACTTAACGATCTCTTCATAGACCGCCTGCGCGAGCTTCGGGGGAACCGCATTGCCAATTTGCCTTCGGACGTGCGGGGCACAGAAGTGATACCGACGTGGAAACGTCTGCAAGCATGCATACTCCCTGTTCGTGAAATTACGCCGTTCCGAAGGGTGGGCAATCATTTCACCTCCGCCACAGGTGATTGTTCGGATTTGTCCCGTGCCATCGCACGGCGCCCGGTCCATCGGACGAGCTGCCGCTCGCTGGGTATTATGGTCTGCTGCTCCCGGCCGGATGTCAGAGATGGCCTGTCTTATAGTAACAAAGGGACGGAGCCCAGAGCCGGGGAGTCCATGAGTCGGCTTGGGAAATAGAGGAAGCGATTCGCCTGGTCTTCATGATTGCTTTGTTAATATCGCTCCTTCGAAAGCTTCCTAAGCCACTTACCCAGATGCAATGATTACCAATCTTCGTCTTAGCTGAGGTACACCGTATTCGACGCAGTTGAGGATGCCCCAGCGCACTGCGTATCCAAGCTCGATGAAGTCTAGAATAACTCGGTTGAATGTCTCCCTGTGACGCTCAAACAGGCCACTTGTCTCTTCCATGGTAAGAATTCTGGGCTTCGACTTCTGAAGCAAGTTCAAACACGAAAAAATGCACGCGCTATTGGCGTCATCGGTCACGGATTCGATCGTGTGCGCGGGTGAGAACGTCTGGCATGGCGGAGATCCATGGACAATGTCTACCTTAGTGGAATGCTTTGAATGGATAAAGGTGAAAAGATCCATCAGCCTGACGTTCGCATCTGGATTGTTGCGTTTGTAGGTTTTGACAGCGGACTCGGATTTGTCGCAGGCCCATTCGGGATGCAAAAGAGCCGCACGAGCACCGCAGGTAACGCCGCCAGCACCGCAGAATGCATCGCCAAATGTATACTGACGAAGTCGCTTCATAGCGTGAACTGGGTCGTGTCTGGTTCGATGCAGCTTGTCATCATCGAGTTCCACGACTTCGCCAGGGTCGAACGCTCCAAAAGGCTTGGTCTCACCACGCCACGCACGGCGGAGCTTCGGCGGGTCGTATTTGAATCCTTCGTCTGCTTCATCCCAGGTGAGATATTCCACTGATGATGGTTTCTTGTCTCCGTAATGCTCTTTGAGCCGACAAAATAGGTCTTTGGGGCGTTGGTGGTGCTTGACCCAGTCCTTCTGGATCATGCAGAAGTTCGTAAACGTGATCCGGACAAACTTTTTAACTTGGTTGGATGGAATGTCTATTGTCTCATTCGCGATCCAGACAAGCTCATGGTCCCACCTTGGTATGTATTTGCCCCTGTGGTTTTTCGTGTGTATCAGGCGTCTTCCCCGAAAGAAGATATCGGCAGAACGATCTGCCAGAACCTCTTCAATTCTGAGGAAGGTACCATCGTGAAGCTGAACGGATTGGCCTTTCTTGTACACAATTCCATTGAGGCACACCTCAGGCAACCGGCGTTTCTCTGGCCTTGTGATAAGTCGGGATCGTACTGCAGGAGTTTGAGGCTCAGCGCGACCTAAGTCCCGCAGTAACTGTTCGTAGGCTTCATCTGTCAGGTAGTCACCGGGAGCAAAACCATCCAAAGTGAGGTCAATGATCTCGCGCTCTCCGTTTGAGAGTGCGGGACTTGTACGGCCGGGTGGATTTTGTAGGACTTCCTCCGCAAAGCTCAGAGAGACTGCTCTTTCAGATTCATCTCCAAGCGTAACACTACTGTCATCTGAATCGTAGTCACATGCTGTCCGGTAGACGAACGACCACTGCTCGATACGTTCACTTCTGGAGTTGAAGTTGAACATGATACCAAGCCAGAGCGAGCAGAACGAGGTAACGAGTCAAAAAGATGAGTTGGAAGTATCCATATGAAGAGAACAAAATGAGTTCAGTTCAGTGAAGCTGTGGGATGAGGCCAGCGAAGTCAATGTAGGTGCGGGGTGGGATGAAGAGGAAGGAAGAGATTCTGGAGTACAGAATTTGATTTAGACTAAAGCATTAGAAAGGTTTTGCAGAAGGAAGAAGAGAAACACAAAAATTTCAGACCCCAGCAGCTATCTGAGACATCCGAGATGTCAAACAAAGAAAAGATGGTCAGGCTTGAGCCAGCCATAGCCGCTTAGTCGGTGCATTTGGACATCACCACAGTGAATTGTTTCCAGAGGACAGACAAAGGCTGAAATGTGACAGACATGAAAATGAACATGGAGTGATTTCGACCGCCATTCTGGTCAGTTCAATTTTCTTTCATAAGCAAGTCTGGAAGTGTGGAGTAAGAATCTACGGCAATCTGAACTGTGCTTGAAGATGTACAGACTTCCCAAAATGGTAAATAGTTCGCCAGACGGGAGAACTCCAGCACAGCAGTCGGCAGTCGATGCCTTAGGCCAGGCCGAAGCCGGGAACGAACTCCCGACCGCTGACCGCCTGCTCCGGCATCGGCAATATTCCTGCCAGAAAGTAAGGTACCGTATGTAAGCAACCGGCCAGCCGGTGGCCCTGGCGGTGTTACTCAGTTAATTTAGTAAACTTAGTAAACTTAGTAAATTTGGGTCACAGAATTTTTCCTCTTGGGTTTAGCGCCTCCTCTCGGCTGGTGGTGGGGAAAAAAAGAAAATTGGGAAACAGCGAGGAGAAGAAATCTATTAAGATGGGATCCCCATTTCTTCCCCTCCTCTCCTCTTTCCCTCCTAAAACTTCTTTAACCATGTTATCCAGCTCACTGTTTCCTCCGTGGACGTGATTCTGGGCATTGTTGCCACCTGTTTCTCCCCTCACTCTCCTTTACATGAATCCTGTTATGTCTCTATAGACGTTTTCGATTCTATCCCACTTTTTTGCAACTCGCCAAGTTCCGGTTTCTACCACCCTACCATCACACTGTGCGTGTACTCCCAAGACTATCTTGAAATATCCCCTTTCAGATGTGAGTCAATCATTCAATGCCTCAGTAAATAACTCTCACACCCTATCCCTGCCCCCCTGCTTTATGATGAATTTCGGTTTTTTTTTATAGATGTTAGACTTCCTAAGCATCATTGCGGACATTTTCCGATCTGATCCAAGCTGCATAACCTTGATTAGCTTTGACAGGAGTTCAGTCTGGAGAATCTCACTGACCTTATCCTGCTCTGTCATATAGAATTCTCTACCGTCAAGATGTGTGGTATTATCGCTTTGATTCAGGCGAACCCGTCAGCTTCCGCTGCCGTCGATCTCCATGAGGCACTCTACCTGCTTCAGCGTGAGTCACTCCGCAGTACACACCCGCAAATACCTCGTGTTCGAGGCTAATCCATGATTCCCGATATGCAGACAGAGGTCAGGATGCAGCTGGTATTGCCACGTGCGCTACCGGCGGTCGTTTCTACCAGCTCAAGTCGAACGGTATGGCCGCCAAGGTCTTCAATGACGGCGCCAGGGTGGCAGACCTCCCGGGTTCAATGGGAATCGGACACTTGAGATATCCTACCGCCGGAAGCAGTGCCAATGCTGAGGCCCAGCCCTTCTATGTGAACAGTCCATATGGAATCTGCATGGCCCACAACGGCAACCTGATCAATGCTCCCGAGCTGAAGAGATATCTGGACCTCGAGGCCCACCGTCACATCAACACCGACAGTGACAGCGAACTGATGCTGAACATCTGGGCGGACGAGTTGAGCGAGACCAAGAAGGCACGTGTCAACAACGAAGATGTCTTTGCCAGTCTGAGCCGCATGTACGAAAGATGCCAGGGTGGTTTCGCCTGCACGGCTATGCTTGCCGGTATGTCAACCCTTGCCCGCGCATCCAGGATCTCAGCTGACCTTAAGTAGGATTTGGCATCCTTGGTTTCCGTGACTCCTACGGCATCCGTCCTCTTGTCCTCGGTTCCCGACCCTCAACAGACTGTGATGGCATGGACTACATGATGGCCTCCGAGTCGGTTGCACTGCACCAGCTTGGATTCACCAACATCCGTGACATCCAGCCTGGTGAGGCGGTCATCATCCAGAAGGGCGCCGAGCCTGTCTTCCGCCAGGTGGCTCCCAAGAAGGCCTACGCTCCTGACATCTTCGAATACGTCTACTTCGCCCGCCCTGACTCCGTCATTGACGGAATCAGCGTGTACCGTAGTCGCCAGCGTATGGGTGACCGTCTTGCTGCCAGAATTCTCGACATCCTTGGGCCGGAAGTGGTCAAGAACATCGACGTGGTCATCCCCATCCCTGAGACATCCACCACCTCGGCCGCTGCTGTCGCGCGGTATCTCGACAAGCCATACTGCCAAGGTTTCGTCAAGAACCGCTATGTCTTCCGTACTTTCATCATGCCTGAACAGAAGACGAGACAGAAGGGTGTTCGCCGCAAGCTGAACGCTATGCAAGCCGAGTTCAAGGACCGAAATGTCCTTCTGGTTGATGACAGTATTGTGCGTGGTACGACGAGTCGAGAGATCGTCACCATGGCCCGGGAAGCCGGTGCCAAGAAGGTCTACTTCGCCAGTTGCGCTCCCGAGATCACGTGAGTATTCCGGCATCCCCGGGGTTCCGACCGAGACATTCGCTAACAATTCACTACAGCCATGCTCACATCTACGGTATCGATCTGGCATCGCCTACCGAGCTGGTTGCCCACGGTCGCAACGTGGTGGACATTGCCAAGCACATTGGTGCCGATAGCGTCATCTACCAGACCTTGGACGATCTGAAGGGCGCATGTGCCGAGATTGCCCAGGAGAACGGCCTCGCTGAGCCTCAGGATTTCGAGGTCGGTGTGTTCTGCGGTAACTACATCACCCCCGTCTCGGATGGCTACTTCGAGCACCTGGAGGAGCTTCGCGGTGAGGGCCGCAAGATCAAGGCCCTGGACCGCGCCAAGGAGGCTGTCACGCATGGCTTCGCCAGTGAGACGGACTTCAAGATGGCTGCCAACGGGGTCAAACTCGATTCCAATGGCAACATCGTCCCCGCGGCCAATCCCGGCGAGTCGGAGGTGCCCAAGGTGGGCATCATCAGCGCCCCTAAGCACTCCCAGGAGGAGCACCCCAAGGTCAAGGACCGCATGGATATCAGCATTCACAACATGGGCGACCATCACTGATTACGATGTCATGGCTTGAGTTGATACAATTGGTGGGGCATACTGCGTGAACCAAGGAGTCTTGGAGTTTTGTAGACGGTGGTTTTGCAAGAACATAGGGTGGCTATCTGCTTGGTGTTTGTGTGTGTGTGTGTGTGTGTGTGTGTGTTCAGTGCATGACAGGAAGGGCGCGGGTTGGAATACCCTTACCTTACCATGATTGTCAAATACCTTTGAAGACATGTTGTTCTGAGATGACGTACTGTTGAAGGGGGCTGAACGGAAGTGATCCCGCCACATCATGTGACCCAACTACACTACTTTTCTTTTTTTGACTCTTTGACTCATCTCATGACGATGATGCTACATCCATTGATGATATAATTTGTACATACCGATAGAATTTTCCTAATGCACCTTCCGCGTCGGAAGATCCTGTATATTTCCTGTCTTTTCTGCTAAACCGTCTTGTACCTCCCAGTTTAAAACTTTAGTCCTGTGTTCTATACATTCCAAAAGATCTAAAGATGGTCCGCATAACCCGCTCCACCACTGCGCGCCAGGCAGCATTAGCCGCCTCTCAAGCGCAATCCAGCAACTCTACCTCATCCCAAGTCCCGAGCGTCCGCCTTTCCACGACTTCCCCCAGCCAAGGACGAAATCGGTCGCAACGCAACAGTCCCCTCCAGGTCAAGGCCGAGGATGCCATCCCGGAACCCCCTCCCAAGCGGCGCAAGAGGAACAACGCCACTACCCCCCCGCAAATCAAGGACCTCAACGACCTCCCTCACAACCTCGGCGCGGTGATATCCCCCACAACCCCAACCAACTCTCGCATCAAGTCCTCCGCCTCCGTCTCACCCATCAAGAAGGAAGGAGAAGCAATCAACAATCTCGCTAAAGACCTCCAAACCACCGTCGACAAAGCCACATTGCACAATGATGACGACCTGTCTCCCCCCCGCAAGAAACCCCCGGCAAAAGCAGCGCGAGCGAAAGCGAAAGCGAACCAATACGGCCTGACCCCCGGAGTCAGCCCCTTCCCCGACTGGCCCCACCCGACGCCCGACGAATGCGAAGAAGTCGACCGGCTCCTGTCGTCGATCCACGGCCGGATCGTGGCCCCCGCGACCATCCCGGAGCCCTCGCTGACCGTGACGGGGTGCGGCGAGGTGCCGTCCGTGCTGGACGCCTTGATCCGGACGCTGCTGAGCGGGGCCACGACGGGGAACAACTCGGCCATGGCGTTCAACGGGCTGGTGCAGCGATTCGGGATCCTGCGCGAGGGGATCGGCAAGGGGAGCGTGGATTGGGACGCGGTGCGGCGGGCGCCGGTGCGGGAGGTCTTTGAGGCGATCAAGCGCGGCGGGTTGGCGGATGTGAAGAGTAAGAAGATCAAGGCGATTCTCGATATGGTGTATGAGGAGAATAAGGCGCGCCGGGATTTGTTGGTTGGTGGTGGTGGTTCGGATGCCGACGCTGATGCTGATGCTGAGGGCGAGGCGTCGGCGGCCACGGCGGAGGGGGTGTTGAATCACCAGTCCGAGGGTCACAAGAACTACGAGATTGCGTGCGCGGACCAGAACTTCCTGAATCTGAACCACCTGCACACGCTGAGCACGGAGCGGGCGATGACGGAGCTGGTCAAGTATCCCGGCATTGGGCCTAAGACGGCGGGCTGCGTGCTGCTGTTCTGCCTGCAGCGGCCCTGCTTCGCGGTCGATACGCATATCTTCCGCATCTGCAAGTGGCTGGGCTGGGTGCCGCCGAGCAAGGTGACCGAGGTAACGGCGTTTGGTCATCTGGAGGTGCGCATCCCGGACCATCTGAAGTATTCGCTGCATCAGTTGCTCATCCGCCATGGGAAGTCTTGCCCGCGATGTCGGGCTATCACGGGACAGTCTTCTGCGCGGTGGGAGGAGGGCTGTGTCATCGATCATCTGGTGAAAAGGACTGGGAAGAGAAAGGGAGGGGTCTGATAGATGGGCTTGGATCATTGCTTGGGTGTTTAATGGGTACTACGTGTAGAATTATGCTGCGGAACCCCTCCTGGAGATATATATATACACCGGATGTTGCTCGTTGCTAGAAAATATCACCTCCCCTATTTTGCTAGACAAGAAAAAAAGCATCGAGCTCTCTTGCTGCATGACTCTTATTAGTTCAATTGTGCTACATACACTAATGTGTATATAATCTTCAAGTTGGGATCCTCATACTTGAACCTCGAATCGACCAGTTGAACCCCGAATGAACCCACCGACAGCCCACCCGGTGGCCCGTGCGCCCGCGCATCGGAGGGAGCGATAAACAATCGAACCACCCGGACTCTTTCCCTTTTGTGCCTCCCTCCCTCCCCTCCTGAACTGGTTTCGTCAGAAAATAAAAAGTGTCTGGCACAACCCAACAGCGCCAGTTCACTCGGTGAATTCTCAACTGAACATGGAAACGCTGGCCCGATTCGTTCCGCCGGCTTTCCAGCCCATCGTGGAACATCTCCAGATCCAAGGCCCGTTGTTGGGCGTCGCGTTGCTGTCGCTTGGCGCGGTGTATCTGGGTTACGTCTACGTTCTGAGCCAGAGGGAGGCTGCCGTCACGTTCAATGTGCCCATTCCTGCGGAGATTAGAGCCAACTGGGAAGGGAAGAAATGGGATCAGCTTGATGGAGAAGCGAAGAGGGTGGTTGAGGGGCAGGTTCGAGGGGTAAGTTTATTGTCCGTTTTCTGCTTGTGATTCGGCAGATCAGAAACTCATTCGAACTGATCCCTGGAATAGCAATGGAACGACAACCTGATTATGAGCTACTGTCCCGCTGATGGAAGAGTTCTCGGATCTGGAATCAAACCTGCGACCCCGGAAGACGTCGATCAAGCGATTAAGGCGGCAGCAAAAGCACAGGCAGAATGGTCCAAGACTAGCTTCGCGGAGAGGAGGAAGGTTCTACGGACTTTGCTGAAGTACATCTCTCTTTGAGTGTCCTGAGAGACTCGGTTGCTAACACTCGGGCCCGCGATAGATACGTTCTCGACCACCAAGACGAACTCGTTACCGCCTGCTGCCTGGACTCTGGAAAGACCAAGGTGGACGCTTCCTTCGGAGAAATCCTGGTGACCACTGAGAAGCTTAAATGGACCCTCGACCACGGTGAAAAGGCTCTGACGCCGGAATCGCGTCCTACGAACTTCCTCATGATGTACAAGAAGAATATGGTCACCTACGAACCGCTGGGCGTGGTCTCGGCCTGCGTTTCCTGGAACTACCCCTTCCACAACTTCATCTCGCCCGTAATCAGCGCTATCTTCGCAGGAAACGGCATCGTGGTGAAGCCGTCCGAGCAGACGGCCTGGTGCACGACTTTCTTCCTGGAGGTCATCCGCGGCGCCCTGGCCAGCTGCGGCCACCCTCGCGAGCTGGTCCAGAGCGTCGTCTGCCTTCCGCGTGTGGGCGACTACTTGACCTCCCACCCGGGCATCTCCCAGCTCACCTTCATCGGCTCCCGCCCCGTGGCGCACAAAGTCTGCGCATCCGCCGCCAAAGCCCTGACGCCTGTCACCGTGGAGTTGGGCGGCAAGGACCCGTCGCTCATCCTGGACGACTCGCGCACCGTGCATGAACTACCCGCCATCGCTTCAATCCTCATGCGGGGTGTCTTCCAGTCCGCGGGACAGAACTGCATCGGCATCGAACGCATCGTCGCCCTCCCCGGCGCCTACGACCGACTTCTGGACATCGTCTCCGCGCGCATCGCCAAACTCCGCCTGGGCTCCGTCCTGTTGTCACCCCAGGGCGCCCCTGACGTGGGCGCCATGATCTCCCCGGCCTCGTTCGATCGACTGGAATCCCTGATCCACGACGCCGTCAAGCAGGGCGCCCGCCTGGTTTGCGGCGGGAAGCGGTTCTCCCACTCTGAGCACCCCCTCGGCCACTACTTCACCCCCACGCTGCTCGCGGACGTCACACCGGAGATGCGCATCGCGCAAGAGGAGCTCTTTGCGCCGGTCTTCGTGCTGATGCGCGCCAGCTCGGTGCCGCATGCTATTGAGATAGCCAACTCGACTGAGTACGGCCTGGGTGCCAGCGTCTTCGGCTACGACCCGCGGGACACCGCCCGGTGCATCAAGGAGATTCGGTCCGGGATGGTCTCGGTCAATGACTTCGGGAGCTACTACGCGGTGCAGTTGCCGTTCGGCGGCGTCAAGGGCTCCGGGTACGGCCGGTTCGCGGGCGAGGAGGGCCTCCGCGGCGTGAGTAACCTCAAGGCCGTGTGCGTGGATCGGTTTCCGAAGTTGATGGCGACGAGGATCCCGCCGCGGGTGGACTATCCAATCAACAAAGGGGAAGGTGCACGGGAGAATGGCACGGGGGCGTGGGAGATGTGTAAGGGGGTGGTGGAGACGGGATATCAGATTACGTTGGCGGGCAGAGTGAGGGGTATCCTGCGTTTGTTAGGGAATATGTAGGGCTGGACTGTATCCCTACGCGGGGCGTGTATACCTGTATATTAGGGCGGGTAGTTGGCTGTATCATAGTACTTACATATACATTAATCATATCGCTGCATGGACTTCAGTGATCGACAGTTCTGGCCCTGCTTACTGTTGATATTTGACGAGGATGACTGCCCAAGTGACATACATCCTCCAGGACCAGCTCACCAGCCAAGTCACCAGCAGCCTTACTCATAATCACCACCTGCGAACTGCAGGATCATCCTCCGAACCTCTGCAGGGGCTCCGCCAACTACGTATGAGGATTGCCAGGAGCCCAGAGTAACCCGTCGCAAATAGGGCTGAGTGGCTGGCCTATTGCTATCTATTGACATCATCAGTGGTAAGCTAACTTTTACTTTACTGCATAAGATGTAATAAGTCCTTCCGTACAGCAGCGCAGATCACCATCTCCGGCGGCGGCGGCGCCCGCCCTCCGACGAAAACGCGCAACACAACAACATCATCTCGGCCAACACTTTCCACAAACGAACGGACGAGGCTTACCCCTGACAAGCCCAACCTTAAGACCAAGGGTCGTACCAGGGTCGTACTATGTCATAAGCACTGCATCCACCTTTCGTAGACTTTTTACCCCAGACCAGGTGGAGACTTGTGGACTTGTGGACTTGTGTCCCCTTCATGCCCGAAAGTCAGGTATCCATGATGTTATACTGGTTGTGCTCCATACCGAGATATGTCATTGGCTTGTTGCCATCAGAAAAGCTAAGGATCACGTGCGACTGTGCCCCTTAAATCCTCTTCAAGAGATTAGAATGCGAACCGTGCTTTGGCAGTATGAGTATGTCATGTAGTGGACAGACGTATGACGTCACCCTGTGAAGTAACCCTCAGCCGCTGTCCATATAGTAACTTATAGTACTTGAGTAGTAGTGCGCAAAAGGATTAACTTAGTACTGGATGCGGTTCTCGAACCTGCCAGCCTTATCGGTGGCGAGACCCTGTCCTCACTTACTGCCTCTACAGTCCATAGTAGGGGTAGTGTACCGGAGTAGTACGCTCGTCACGATCCGCAAGGGTTTTTCCCATTTCCGCATTAGGAGGTCAACCAAAGCCTGGCATGGCGCCGATGCGAACCACACAACAACCCAAAAAAACGATGTCATATGTCGTTATGACGGCATCATTGCTTGCTTGCAATTTGCAGTTTCTGTCCCGTGTTTGATACTCGGTAGTCCGTAGTGTGCTGATCCTTTTTTTCCTTTTTTCTTTCGTTGTGGCATGTACACTACACTAACCTCACTACACACACACACATACATCATTCGAGAGACTACGAGAACCAACCCTCAAGTCTGTCTGGCTGTTCCCTCCCTGCTTCGGATATTTATACTTCACTCCCCTCCTCCCTCAGGAACCAGATCCAAAAGCATACAATGCGTCCTTTCACCGATACCACTGTCCACACTACTGCTTCTTCGAGTTATTCGTCCCAGGGAACCAAGACTGAGAAATAAGTGCCGATTACTTGCCACTGCCATTCTTCAAGACGACAACCAGCAAAGCTATACCTACAAGTACACCACAACCACAACTACACCACCACTACAACTACCACAACTACTACCTACCACACCACACACAGATCCCAAACCAAAGAAAACACAAACCAAAATGGGCGCCGTCGTCTCCTGTGTACGTCCCCTGACTCGTGCATTCTTCCCGAAGGTGAAAGCTATAGTAGTACCTATGTGCTAACGATCTTTACCAACAGATCCAAAGCGTCTTCCACGCCATCGGCGCCTGCCTCATGGGCATCGTCAACACCATCGGCTCCGTCTGCAAGGCCATCATCGACGGCATCGTCACCCTCTTCGACGTGATCATCTCGTGCCTCACCTGCGGGTACTGCGGGAACCGGCGGCGGACGCGGACGCACGGCCGGAGGTCGAGGGTCTAGATCTTGCCTGAAGAAGATGTGAAGAGGAGGCGGAAGATACCCTGCTGCGATGGGTTCGCTAAACCATTCTTTTTATTCGTGGCTCGGATTTGATCTACCCTGATCGGATCTGATCTTCGTTCTAACGAGGTTACGACTTATGGACTGCGCTGGTGGTTTTTGTTTGCGTGTTTCATTTCGTTCCGTTTCGCAGCTGTGTACTTGTTTTTTGTTGGTGATGGTTTTGATATCCTATCCTGTGGTTTTTATGAATTCTCTTCCTTGAATTAATATGATTCTTTCCATATCTACCTCGCATATGCTTATGCATATGCATAATGATAATGTAACACTGTCCCGAGGGTAGAGTATCAACCGCTTCCGCCCACATTATTCATGATACTAAGAGAGCCCCCCCCCCTTCCTCATCGATATACATCTCTACTACAAGGAACAGGATTATAACTCAAGTACGCCCCCCATACCCGCCCGCACCAACAACCCCCTCACCCTCTCCCCCTCCTCCCTCGTCAGCCCCCCTTCCCCCTCCCCCAACCTCTCCTCCACCAGGACCCTCACAAACCCATCCCCCGGCCCATCCGCATACTTCACCGCCGCGCAGAAATGGTTCACGGAGACGGGCCACGGCACCGGGAAATCATACCAGGGCACCCGCACCCGCAACCGGAGGAGCGTCCGGAAGACCGCAAACTCCCGCGCCCGGATCGTCTGCCGCAGCACGCGCCGGGACCGGTCGTGCGCCGGCGTGTCGTCGAGGGACGCGTCGGCCGCCAGCAGCGCCAGGAACTCGAGCTTGGCGGGGCTCCAGGGCGGGGACAGGAGTTTGTCCGGGATGCGGCAGGATAAGGTGCCCGTGGGGCTGGGGATGGTGCAGGCGGGGAGGCGGTAGGTGTTGGCTGTGGTGGCGCTGGTGGCGCTGGTTGCTGTGAAGGGGTGCGTGGAGGAGTAGATGTCGTTGGGGCTGCGGATTTGGAGCGCGCCGAGGTGGAGGTAGAGGGCTATTTTGTGGGGGTTCCTTCGGTGGGGTTTGGTGGTCGTGTTTGATGATGTTGGTGATGTTGGTGATGTTGATGATGGGTTGGGGTAGGGGTGCGCGTGGAGGATTAGGTCGCCTTTTCCGGGGCCGTTGCTGCTGCTGCTGCTGCTGCTGATGGTGGTGGTTTGGCCGGCCTGGTGGATGAGGCTGGATAGCTGCTCCTCCAGCGAGAGGAGGGTGGCTTCGTCCTGCAGCGAGAAGAGGAAGTCCCTCCCCGGCTGGCATTTCTGGTGGATCGTGTGCAGGAGGTAGTCGCGTTGGCACTGCCGGATGAGCGGCAGGGTGCACCAGCGGCAGGCCAGGAGGGCGGTCTGCAGGTCTCTGCGTTCCACTGGGGATAGCGCGAAGAAATCGAGGGGCCGGGGGAGGAAGTCCCGTGTGAAGAAGTGCGTGGCGGCGCTGGCGTTGGTGCTGCTGAATGCGAGCCGGATGAGCCAGGTGTATAGCGCCGGCGTGGACAGGGCTTCCGCGAGCCGGGGAGACGCGCGCGGAAGATTGACCTCGAGACTGTGCAGGAAGATCTCCTGGATGATCTCGGCGGGGAGAGATTCGAGTCTTGAGCCTGCCGTGGCTGGATTGCTGGGAGGAGGAGGCATTTGGTGTTGTACACTCCTGATGTAGATGTATGATGTATGTATGCACTTCAACAAGTTCTATGGCGAGATGCCTCTCAGTATCGGCCCTGCGCTGGGGTGGATTGTGAAGATTGGATGCTCAAGTCACGCATTGCTTTTGATCACTGTGAGTACTTCGAGAAGCAAAGAATCAATTGAGATGTGATGTACTGTCCTTGGAGGAGATCGAGCATCGCTGTGCGTCAGAGCTGCGCCGTTGCTAACACTAGGTGGGTTTAGTGCTCGCCTCTTTCATGCGGCAACATGTCTCATTGCATATAAGGGGACAATGCAAAGACTAATAAGCATTCTCATGTACAAGGTATTGCACTGCTCATACCCCTGTGGATATAGTTCAGGATAACAATTCCACGTATGTGAGTTTAACAGGAAACGTGGTTGGGCCGATCGGGGAATCCTCGGGTGGACTTGCACGTGGTAGATGATTCTGTGTACATATAGGAACTTTGATACCTATGCGTGACCTCTAGTAGTCACAGTCTACCTGGAAAGAGACACTACATCTCTACTGTGTCAAGATATCAAGGTTATCTTGGATCATCGTGACATATGGGAAGAAGAGCTATCAACACAGTCTACTTGATATCGGAACTCCTGAGATCGATGATTGACACATCCGTATGGTGCTATAGCAATCCTACTTCGTCTGACGATGGAATATAGCTTGATACTCTGAAGATAATGGTACTTGGCCGGGGTGCTGTATTTACGACAATACGTCAACACCCTTTTCCATGAGATGTCGGCCTTCGTGTCTGCATCACATTCGCGCAGGGATACATGCTCTCCTTTGTACTCAGCGCACACCAAGACCTTGACAAGTCATTCAAGCATCGAAAGAACAGACGATGCATATTCAACCCATAATTGACACATCGAACCTACAGCCTACAACCAAATAAGGATGAGAAAACGATAAATTGAACATCTTTCTATACATAGTCCTACAACCAGCAATCACACGACCAGACAGACAAAAGGGTATCCTAGCTGGCCAACATGCTTGACAGATAAGTACGAGAACAAGTCTTGCTTTGTGTGTTGTGTGGCTATATCTGGAGGTTGCAGGACAAAGGTGGACGGAAATGGCATACAAGGGATTCAGCCAGTTTAGACAACGGACATCTCGCCGAAGCGCTCCTGTAGGTTGCAAAGAATGGTTAGCCTGTTTGTTTCTCAAGATTTATAATACTGGCACAATCAAGGGTTGGGAATCTCACCTTGTAGCCGGCCGGCATCCAGCGACCCTTCTGGACAAGGGAGGAGGTCTTCTCGTCGATCTCGGGCTGGGCAGCAGCAACCTCGTCCTGGAGTGGGATGGTCTGATTAGCAAAAATCGAGGCGGAAGGTCGGAACGATCGCAACGTACGACGGTGAGGTCCTCGAAGGGACGGGCGGTCTCGATGTTCTCGAGGGTCTTCTGGAGGTTGCGGAGTTCAACCTCGACCTTGCCCTTGGTCTCCTCAGCGCTCTGGACGGCCTGGGCCTCGAAGGCGTCGATGGCCTTCAGCTGGCGGTTGACATCGTAGGTGGCGGGCTTGAAGCTCTTGAAGTGGCTCTCGAGCTGGTCGACGATGGCCTGGTTCTTCAGCACCTTGCGGTAGTGGGCGAAGTCGACGGTCTGGGGCTGCTCGGACAGGACCTGAACCTTGCGGCGCGCGTCGTCGTTACGCTTCTTGAAGGCCTGGAGGGAGGCAGCGGTCTGACCGCGGAGACCGAGCGAGCTGGTCAACTTGGTCCAGTCGATCTTGAGAGCGGCGCTACGCTGTAATCCAGGCTGTTAGTGGGCAATCTCGCTGGCTGACTGCGTCAGAATATCTGGAAAACGGTGGAGACATACGGCGGCCATTTTGAATTGTGTTCTGGGAGGGAGTGGGAGGGAGAGGGGAGGTCAACGTGCAAAGCTGGAGAATCCGGGAGGTTGAGGGTTGACTCGGCAAGATTTGGAATGGGGATGGTATCACGTGACCCGCGTTTCCCGTCTTCCGAACGGCCACAGCACCACCACCCGCAGCCAGAAAGGCCAAGGAGTTAAGTATGCAGTGATTGTTGTCACTGTGCCACCGCTACAGTGCCTGAATATTAAAAGTACTGTAGATGCACACCCGCTACAAATTACAGATAGAGAGCTTAATAATATTTCTGGATCATTCAATTCTGCTTTTGAGCCAATTGATTTACACAATGGGACTTGCCAACGTATCCACCCTAGAGGACATCATTTGGGCTGCATACCCATAATCCAGCCTGCCAGCAGGGTCGATACAGCTCACCCACTGGCGCGTGCGGTTAAGGTGACAACGCTTATATGCTAAGAGCCATGATGGAGTTGACAATGTCGTTGTCGTTCTCCCGAAGAGCCTTGACGGCCTTCTTGCGAGACACATTAGCCTGGGCCATAACCAGTTCGATGTCCTTCGCCTCAAGGCCAGACTCATCAACCTCCTCGCCATCATCCTCCTCCTCCTCCTTCTTGGCCTCAGCCTCGGGGGCCTTGCCCTGAGCGTGGTCGTGCTCGTGGTCGTGACCGGCGTGCTCGTTGGCAGCGGCCTCGGCGAGCTGCTGAGCAGCGGAGGCCTGGGCCTGGGAGTTCAGGTCCTCGATCTTGGCCTCACCGAAGATGCTGTAGGAACAATGTGTAAGCTTGGGGTCATCCATTGATAGTCTGAGGTCATCACAAAAGAAACCACGTACATCCAGGTGTTGCTGGTAGGGGAGCGGTAGACATCGGGCTGGTTGATGACAAAGAGGATCTGTTGTCGAGCTCGAATTAGCCATACTGCTGCCACATTCCTCGTCCGCTCGCCGACACGCCTCCGAAAATTTCACTGTAGGACGGTTGCCGAGCGATCGCGGATAGCGGGGTAAGAAGGATTCGGTCGCAACTCATACGTTCTTGGGGCGGCGGAGAGTGACACGGGTGATGCCAGGGACGTGCTTCAGGCCGAGCTTGCCAATGGCCTTGCGAGCCTTCTTCTCGTTGCGAGAGTGGATGGTGACGGCGGCACCACCGGGGATGGTGGGCTCATCGCCAGCCTCAGACTCAGAGTCGCTGCCGGCATCCTCAACCTGGGTCTTGGGGACCTCCTCGTCGGGGAGCTCTTCAACACGGGGATCGGCCATTTTGTATGTGTGTAAGTTGAGTAAAGCCTAAAGTGGGCTGAGATGGTGGTTCGAAAGGTCAGCAATTCGCACGGTAGTGGGACTCGCACAGGTGGTGGTTTGGGACGAGGCTCGAATTGGGCCTAAGAGACCCAGAAACTTCCACAAAACTGCAAGAATTCGCCAAATTCAAGCGGAAACGGCATCTGGGCGGTCACAAATCCCATTTGAACGTACCTGGACACAGAATAGGGGACTGTGGTGGATGGAGGGGATTTTTTTTGCCTTGGTTGGAGTTGGGAAGACTTGAAGCTGTGTGAATGTCATCCTGCCGAAAATCGTTAGCGAGCTTATTGGGGGGGCCCTCCCTCTCCCCCCGGACACACAAGCAGCGGCTCCTCTACAGACCAAGTTCGTCTGCATACAACCAACTAGCTACTGAGTTACGCTGTTATAGGCAAACTTATAGTTTTTAATCTTCGAAGCCTCAATCTAGACCAAATCTTGAAATTAATACAATTTACAATGAAAGTCCCTTTTTTTCGTCTTTTTTTGCTTTGAAAGTCTAAATTGTGTTCATTGCCCATTTCCTTCTCAGGAGTTGACCCGCTGATGTCAAGTCGAAGACCCAGTTGTATCATAAGTCAGGTACTCGCTGAAAGGCGCTCGTTTCAGGCGCGAGCGGGTTTCAGCTTTCCATGACGTACGAGAACAAGCCATGTCAGGATATCAAAGGTTCTTGAATCATTTTTATGCTGTCAAATAATGCATACAGCGTAATTTTTTGCTGAACATAAAATTAACCCATCAGCAAATAAACCCCGTCCTAAGGCACCCTGTCACACTTTGCACCGAGCCCCAATAACCATCTATGCCTTGGGAGCAGCAGCTCTGAGCTTGGCGTGAGCCTTCTGGACCTCGTAGCGAGCCTGTAGAGTTGAAACATGTCAGCCTTCGTCCATTGTCCCTGCGCGCGTCCAGAGAGCCATTCCATTCCACCGCCGAACCACAAATAAGCCCCAATATGGCCCCGTTGTCCCTTCTCCAATGGCTCTCACATGGCGCGCGCATGTCACAAATCCATCTCTGTCGCACGTACCTGCTTGCGGAGTCTGAGAACCTTGAAGCGCTCGAAGTCGGTCAGGTTCTTCCGGCGCTCGATGCGGTCGGTCTTCTTAGCGAAGCCGCTCTGAGCCCACTTGCCATCGATCTCGTTCTTCTCCCAAAGCTTCTTGACGGGGCCAGTACCGGCAGCACGGGGGAGCTGGGGAATGACGAAGTGGGTGAGGGTGGCGTGGGAGAGGGGGAGGACGTGGCGGGGGACGATCTTCTTCTCCTCGGTGGAGGGACCATCAACCAGAACCTAATCGGGTGCAACTCATGTCAATTTTTGATGTTCATGTTCATGTTCATGTTTCCCCTCCCGCAGCAGAATCCCATATCCCGTCTCTTGTCTTTTGCCGACCGAGATCCCCGGGGTTCCTCCAACCGCAAATTCCGCGCGAATTTCATAGAACGTACACGTCTGTGGTCGACAATCTCGACAATGGCGGCGAGCTTGCCGGTGTAGGGACCGCTGCGGATCAGCACAACGCGGCCAACCTCAACCAGCTTCCATTGAGCAATCTTGACATCGATATCGGCCATGGCGAAGGCTTCCTATTTTTTTGCAGAACAAAGAACGACTTTAGTTTGGATGTTGCGTGCGTGTGTGTGTGACAGGGTGGTCGTAGATTTTGGGGAAGGGCGACAAGAACTCACGGTCGACAGACTCCGGGTGGGACGGTGGTGGTGATTTGTTGTCGAAATGTCGGGGTTGTCGAAGGTCGTCCTAAACGCACAAGTCTCGTCGCACTCAACGGGGGCTGACTGGATAGCGAATTTCGGTGGTTGCGGCCCTTCGCCCACAAGAGTCTCGCTTAGCAGCCAGTAGCAGCCCGCCGCCGGGTGTTTGCGTGCGGCCTAGGGCTGCTTCCGCCCCTTAGCGCCCTCCATCGGCCACCGGATATTTTCCGCTCCGAGCACCGCGCCTTTTAAGCTTCTGATTCAGCAGCAACTGTTTGCTGGTGTTTCTGTTCTCTCTGTGTGCGTGCAGTTCTCTCTGCAACGTTCCAGACTTTTGGGATTTGGAACTTCAGGACAAATGTGGTTCTGATCATGACGATCAATTAATCGCCTTGAAGCTTTGCTGCTTTGAAGCTTCAATTGCTCATAAGCTACACTAACTTCGACAGTGTACGCGCATCGTGTGTTATACTGGTATGCATACACTCCTTTCGTTTTGCACCTCCTACCTCGCTCAATTCTTACATGATGCGGTAATTTGCGATTGACGCAGCGTCTGTGATGCCCTCGCCGGGGTTTTCTATACAGCGCTGCCGCATGATATTTAATTCTTACATATTCTGATATCCTCAACACTTCGTCTTCTCTTGCTTCTCACATTTCCATGTGTTATTCATACTAACATTGCGAAGACCTTAGCAGCAGACTCAATTCTTTCGCCTTTTCACTTCGATTGTCCACTTCGAGATATTGGTATGCATCCCACTTTTTGCTTTCATCTGCCCTCCCCAGTTCCGGTGATTAAAAACATGATATCACGCCTAGATAGTAGTTGATGCCTTCTGGCAATGATATTTCCCTCATCACCAAGATCTCTGAGGAACATCCTTTAATCCAGACTTTGGATCATCACTCATCTTTGCTTTGACTGGTTTCTAACCTTGTGCAAATTCAGGTCCCGTCTCAAGTCTATTATAGCTATTTTGACTCAATGCACATCTCTTTCATTTTCAAAACTCTTCACTCTGTAGAATCCATCCTGCGTAGACTAGCATCTTTCCTCTCGCCCAAGGCCCGTAACATTGTTATATCGAGCCCGATTACATGTTGGCAGAATTAGTGGACGGCGAAGTTCAGAGAAAAGGTTTCGACGCTATTAAAAGATCTAAATATATGCGAAAGTAACATATGGTATAGTTTTACGTGGAAAGATGCTGAGGGGCCTACATGAACCTCCTGTTTCCTTTTCGTGAAGTCCATCTATATCATTAACTGTAAACGACCGAGTGCGGGGACGAGGCTATCACGATGAACCCGCACCCATCCCCGCAACAGTAGCGATCGGGCCCTCGCGACTCAGCACCCACATGAAGATAAATTGGATGATGTACGCATAAACGAACAGAAACTGGGTGCGGCGGTTGCGCTGCGAGCGAGCAACGGTGTGCATAGATCCCGAACGCATGGAGGCGTCACTAGTGGAATCCGGAAGCAGAACGTATTTGAGGGAGCGGAGCTAGGTTGGACAGCAAGGGTTAGCTAGCGACCCGGCAACTACGGTATCACCACGGGGTACGTACCAGGAAGAAGGCGTTAGCCAGGAACGTGTAGATAAAGACAACCCAACCAACCCAACCACCGGTGCCTCGACCAGGCGTCAGGATTTCAGACGCCAAGAGCGTGAGGATGATTCCGACGAACTTATACCCGGAGTAGGCAACGAGATCGAGGAGCTGAGACTCGTTGTTGATGCTGAGGATGTACATTGCCAGCTTCAGGCACATGATCTCGAACAGTATGACCGCGATAGCTGTCGTGGTAATCGACCCTAAGAGCTCCGGGTGGAAGTTTCCGCGGAACCCTGCCAACATGGCCGAGAGCAGAATGTAGGTGACCAGTGCCATCACAGGGATATACATGTCAGGCGAGTTGAGATCATCACGGGGTGGAAGGAACATGGAGGAGTACTGCTGCTGTGAGATCTGGCCATTGGGGCCAGGTGCAGCCGTCGTCAGGCGTGCCTGTTGGCGGGACCAGGGCTTGTGTCGCCATGGGAAGAGAACGAGGGAAAGCTTGTTCAGGACGTAGGAGTTCGAAACGTTGAAGTAATGCTTCAGGGCCGGAATGGACACATAACGGTTTAACTGGGGGGAGGAGGTTAGCAATGAACATTGTCAGAATGCCATGATCCATGATATCGGCGCTGCTTACGTTCTGCTCCATATACTCCTGGCCAGCCATCATCGCCGTCTTCCCGACCTGAAAACTCATCTGCGCCGTTGGATCATTGATGAACTGGCCGAACCCCGGGCCGTAGGTCCCGCTGCCACCTTGCGCAGGTGCGGGTTGGTATGGGTTGCCATAGCCCGCGGATTGAGACTGCTGAGATGTCGGAGGCGGCGGCGAGCGCATCATTGGAACTGTAGAGACATGCTGAGGCACTGGGTGGTGAAGCGGAGGCGACTGCGCCGGAGGTGGAGCGAATGATTGGCGATACATGTTTTCTGAGAGGGGTGTCGAAGTCGAAGATTTTGGACAGGTTGAGGTTAGACTCGATGGGATGATATTGGGGGAGTTCGTGGGGCGCCGAAGCGGCAGAGAGCTACTTAATGAGATTTGCACGGAGTTGGAGAGATGAAGGTGTTTATACGTGGCTGAAGTCCGCCGCTCCTTCCGCTCCCCAGCTCAGCTTGCCGCCCACGCCCACACATTCCCCACCCGCGCGGACCTCATCATCAACCTTCCACTCGATTATTACATCACCCAGCAAATATCTCGAAACACCCTCCGCAAACATGTTGGAATCCTTCGAAATCCTCGACACCTCGGGTGTAGTTCTCTGGTCAAAGTCCTACGCCCCTGTGGGTGCCCACGTGGTCAACAGTCTTATCAGTGATGTTTTCATCGAAGAAAAGGCCCAGATTCAAGGCCCAAATAGTACCTCGCCAACTTTCAGAAAGGAGAAGTATACCTTAAAGTGGAAGAGAGTCAAGGAATTCAATCTCATTTTTGTGGTATGTGCCTTCTCCAATGCAACTTGCGCTTCGTGGGTTCTAACAATGCTGTGAGTCAGGCCGTCTACCAGTCTATTCTACAGCTGGGCTGGATCGACAAACTCCTCGATAATATCGCTACCCTGTATATCGACCTTTACAAAGATCAACTGAGAAGCACTCGCGCAAGGATAGTGCAATACCCGTTCGACAAATACTTTGACCAGCAAGTGCGCGAGCTCGAGGGCAGCTCCGGATTTGTCGCATCGGAAAGTTCTGTGGCGAATGCAGTTGATAAGAAGGATCCGCTTGTCTCATCTGACAATGGGGGCCCACCACCGCCATCGGTCTCTGGCCTCATCAAAGGTATGTTCTACTGTGTGCCCCCGATTTCAGGGCTTTACTGACGGTCGCAAAGCGCAGCAACAAGCTGCGCTCGGCGGCGTGGTCACCTCAGATGAGGGTACGCCATCCCAAACTCCAGACATTTCGAGATCGACAACTCCCGTTGCCGGTCATATCCTTACCGCCAAGCTAGGCCCCGGAGGTCGTATGTCGCGCCGTGGACGCAAAGCCGCCAACTCCAGCGCCAATGCTTCATCCGGTGACGAGAAAGGGCGAAAGGATAAGGCTCCAAAGAGTGGAAAGAAAATGCGTCGGTGGGATGCAGACGGTTTCGCTGATGAGGACGATGGCCAGGTCCTGGACTACTCGGCTCCGGCTGATGCTGAGGGAGCACAAGTGCCAGCGGTCGAGGCTGTCTCCGAAGATTCATGGGGTCGGAGAACTGGTAAAGGCCAGTTCGTGCTCAAGGACCTCGGAGATGAGGTTCACTCAATCCTTGAGAATGCAGAGAGCGAGAAATTGAAGGGTGCTGCTTCTTCCAGTATCGTTGGCTCGGGGTTCAACGCCATCGGTGGTCTCCTGCGGAACATTGTCGGCGGTAAGGTTTTGACGGAAGCTGATCTAGAAAAACCCTTGAAAACGATGGAAGATCATCTCCTGAAGAAGAACGTTGCGCGGGAAGCGGCGGTCCGACTTTGCGACGGTGTCCAGCGGGAGCTTGTCGGGAAGAAGACGGCTAACTTCCAAAGTGTGGATGCGGCCCTGCGTTTGGCCATGGAATCCTCCTTACGCAAGATCCTGACACCAACTTCTTCTCTCGATCTTCTTCGTGAGATTGATGCTGTCAGATCTCCCACGACCAAGGAGGCGAATCCCCGTCCCTACGTCATTTCGATTGTTGGGGTGAACGGTGTCGGAAAATCAACTAATCTTGGAAAGATTTGCTATTTCTTGTTGCAGAACAACTACCGTGTTCTGATTGCGGCCTGTGACACTTTCCGGTCCGGTGCAGTGGAGCAGCTCCGTGTTCATGCCCGCAACCTCAAGGAACTTAGCCAGCGTGAGACTGCTGGTGAAGTGGAACTATACGAAAAGGGTTACGGCAAGGACGCAGCGAACGTCGCCAAGGACGCTGTGGAATACGGCGCAGCCAACAAGTTCGATGTTGTCTTGATCGATACCGCAGGCCGCCGCCACAACGACCAGCGTCTTATGTCGTCTTTGGAGAAGTTTGCCAAATTCGCTAAGCCCGATAAGATCTTCATGGTCGGCGAAGCGCTCGTTGGTACGGACAGTGTGATGCAGGCCCGTAACTTCAACCAGGCCTTTGGTACGGGACGAAACCTTGACGGCTTCATTATTAGTAAATGTGACACTGTGGGTGATATGGTAGGCACTCTGGTTAGCATGGTTCATGCGACGGGTATCCCAATTGTGTTTTTGGGTGTTGGTCAACACTATGGTGACTTAAGAGGGCTGAGTGTCCCTTGGGCTGTCAACTTGTTGATGAAGTGAGTAGTCTTGTGCGATTTAAGGTTCTAACGCTAGAATGATGATGCTATAGCTAGTCTTTTTTTTAACGACTCTAGAATTATTTATGGGACAAAATGCCAGTTGAAAATGCATACATGACCTGGCAAGGATTTTTCTATGGGAGTAGTCTTCAGTCCATCCAACTCCACCACAACAAATACAAAATTCCGTACGAAGGCTCAAATATATCTTGGTGGAGGAGTATACTAGAGATGGAACTCTCTCGAGAGATGAGGAACAAATCCACAGAGTATGAAGGCTCAAAAGGTGCGTGTGATTATCGGCATATATATAAGTAGAGGCCGGTATAGCCGCCATTTCTGCTGGTCCTACTGCACTTTATCGGAATCGAGGCGAAACGGACCAATAGGCTTGACTTCCGATGCAGAATCCCATCGCGCTGGTCATGTGTGCCACCAAAGCATCGAATAAGCCATAATTTAATACCAGCGTCTACAGATGTTGTTGTTGTTGTTGTTGTTGTTGTTGGCCTATTACGCACGTGGTGGTGAGCGTGACCACAAGCTGGAGCGGATGAGTCAGCTGCAAGCCTGCAGAGGGGCTTACATCATCTGCAGGGCCTCGCCGATGATCTTGTGTGGAGTGGAGTTACTCCGCGCGCAACATCTTCGAGATCCAGTCTTGCTGCTGACTGCGCTTATCATCATTACTCTCTTTCTTTCCTCCCTGCTCGCCTTCAGCTTTGGGACACGGATCTTACGTGGTTGAAAGATCACTTTTTATTTGCGTTTCACCCCTTCAATCGCTTTCAGTCGTCATATCCTGGGGGCTCCTTCGCCCCCCGCACTGCGAACGACGTGTGGCCCTTGAGCTCCATCATCTCTGCTGAAAACGCAAGGGAGGCTCACTGAGGCTGGAGACACGACCTTTGTTCATTCCACTATCATTCAGAATATCTGAGGACCATTCTTCGCGAAAATGAGGACAGACGAGCAGGGTCCGTTCAACCGGCGACACTCTTCCACCCTCCACTACCAAACCTTCGACACCCCACCGCCAAAGTCTCGCGGAAGACCGAATTCTGGACAGTCTGGATCGTCTGGCGGAGACTCGCATCATCAGCAGAATGACAATGGCTCCGAGCGCGGGTCTGGGTCACCACTCCCGAAGCGGCAGATGGCCATCCTAGCCTTCATCTCCCTGTGCGAACAAACGGCCTTCAACTCGATTAGTCCCTACCTACCCGAGATGGTGTCGTCATTTCCTGAAGCTGAAGCTCGACCGAATACCGTGGGCATGTATGTTGGAGCGCTGGCTACGGCCTTTGCAATCGCGCAGCTTGTGACCAACTATTTTTGGGGCTGGTTGTCGGATCGTGTGGGCCGGAAACCGATCATCCTCCTGGGCACCATTCTTACGGCACTATGCTTCTGTGCGTTTGGATTCTGCAAGACACTATATCAGGCTATTGCGGTACAGGCGTTAATGGGTGCGGTCAATGGTAATCAGGGTCTCGTATCGACCTGTCTCGGTGAGATCACCGACCGCAGCAACCAATCCAAAGCGTTCGCCTATCTCCCCGTCTTGTATGGCATTGGAGGCGTCACCGGCCCCATCCTTGGCGGATTGCTGATCTTCCCCAAGAACCCATTCGACAAGAGTCAGCCCAACCCATACCCATACGCTGCCCCCAACCTCATTGCGGCGGCAATCCTCATTGTCGACTTTGTCGCTTCGATTTTCCTCCTCGACGAGAGTCTTGACGATGCGGATGCCCTGCCCCATTTTGGCCGGCGCGTTCGGGCCCTGTTTGCCTGGCTCTGGCAATGGACCAGCTCCGCCAAACGCGCGGGATGGATGAAACCACCGCATCATGCTTCATACCGCCACCTCCGAACACAGTCCACCGACAGCCAGGATCACGACAGCGAATTGGACTCGGCCTCGGAGGTCTCCGAATCTCCCCGCCCGCACCCGGAATCGTTGATGCAAAGTCAAATCTGGAACCGGGACACGATCTTGCTCCTTTTGACGTACCTTGTGTTTGCCCTGTGCAACGTCTCCTTTAACTCGCTCTTCCCCATCTTTTCACAAGCCAGGCCCCCATTGGGCCGAGCTCTCACCCCCTCAGAGATCGGTCTTGCCCAGGGGTTCACGGGGCTCGTTACCATCATCTTCCAGATCTGCATCTTTGGAAAGTTGCGCGACAAGATGGGCAACCGATGGTCTTACCGTGCCGGACTGCTGGGATTCGTGGTGTCATTCCTCCTTATGCCCTTCATCGGGTACAAGGGCAACGACACGGATAGGAGCGGTGTCACCGGCAAGACCGCTCTGATGGCCATTGAACTATGTTTTGTCTTGCTGATCAAGACTGTCGCCTCGGTAGGCGGGTTGACCAGTGCACTCTTACTGGTATGCATCTCTTCCCGAGCTCAACGCTTTGAAAACATTTCTAACGAATTGCAAAACCGAATAGATCACAAACTCCGCCCCGGACCACACGGTCCTCGGCTCTCTGAATGGCCTCGCGCAAACTCTCTCCGCCGCCGGCCGCGCCGTCGGACCCCTCATCTCCGGCAGTCTGTTCAGTCTGGCCTCCCGTCTTCCTACCAAAGGCGAAGCCATGCCCTTTGGTGTTTTCTCCGCCGTCTCTTTTGTCGGATTCATCCTTAGCTTCGGTATCCGCGCCCGTTCCCTCGAAGCGGAAGACTGGGAAAGCGACGACGACGATGACGACGACGATGAGGACGAAGACGACGCCGGCGACGACAACACCAACAACACCAACACCACCAACCACGAACGAAGATCCTACAAACCCGGCAACGAAGACGAAGAAGCTCGTCCAGCTCGTTAGAGTTGTCGAAGATATCTAGATAGATTCCCTTTATTCATTGTCTTGACTATCGTACGTAAACCGCAAGATGGGAAAACCTCTCATCCCTTGCATGGAACAAGAAAGCAGAAAGACAACAGACAGCCAAAAGAAAAGAAGAACAAGAACATCTACATACATATTCCTCCAAGCGGGATTAACGACCGAGACACGACAACATTCCTTTTCATTCTTCTGGTTTACTTGATCTTGTACCATTCGGCTTTCTGATTTATTGATTTTGTTGCCATTGATCCGATAGAGGCAAGCCAGCGCCTGCACCAAATCCGAAGCCGCTGATTATTCTGCTTTTCTGCGTGTTTTGTTTAGGTTTCCCAAAAGAGCGGTTGTCCCTGAGTGTGGGCTTTTGTGCATAGCTGGAGTTGTTTTTTTTTTTGTTGGTCAATCTTAGCCTGCTTTAGAGGGGACAGAGGACGTGACGGGGCAGGGGTGTACGTATGTAAATACTTAGGTTATTGTTTATTGTCCTTTGTTTATCCTCGAGTGTATGCATTTCTGCTTTGCTTGCTTTTCCTGTCTGGGGACTTTTGGTATTGGGTGGTGAAAGGGTAGGTTGGGTTCTAGGTCAAGGTCGATCGATGTGCTATGCTTTTGCTAGGGTTGAGTACTGTACTCCGTACTAACTATGCCTTCGGCGCTTCCGTTACTTCGATCTGGTTAGTGGTGATGTTATGCAATCGCGAAGATAGAGGGTTATCCACTAGATTACACATGCATACAGAGAGAGAGTTAGAGAGTGAGGAGAGACTAGTGAAAAACACTATACCGTCATCCGTCGCTCTGTTTTCATCGGGAGATACCTAGTCATAACCACGAAATGGAAGGCTACGTCAAGATTCGTTCCAGGTACCTAACTAGAACACGACTGGAGAGAGAAACGTGATGGTCAAGCCATAAAAGTCGTACAGGACAGAAAGTAGATAGCGAGAGAGGGAGGATATAATATTTGAAAAAGGCAAACCCAAACCAGTCACAGGTATCATTTCACATCATAAATAATCATATCAAGAAAACAAGGAGAGAACTAGCTACTAGTTACTCTTGGAGGAAGTTCTACAGACGTCGCTCGGATGTCCCCGCTGTCTCCTGTTGTTGTTGTTGTGGTCCAGGTTTCGACCCTTGTCGGGCCTTGCGAGCCCATGGGATGTCCTTGGCGAAGAGTTGTCTTAGTTCCGGGGAGATGATCTTTGCGTCCTTGTCGCCTGGTCGGTTGCTGGGTCCGGCGGCGGCGCTGCTGCCGGTGGCGAAGCCGGTGGATTGCGGAGGGCGTTCGGGGGATTTGCCCTTGTTGTTGTTGTCGTTGGTATTTTCACCGGCAGCAGGGGAGTCCGTAGTGGGTTTGCGTTGGTAGGCTGCTGGAGATGGAGAGGGGAAGTTGTTTTTCTTGTCGATGGCTTGGACGGCTCGTTCGAAGCGGTGAAAGAGAGATTCGGCGCGAGTCAGGATTGGGACGAGTTCCATGGTGTTGGACAGTTCGTTGACTAGACAATACATTAGCATGAGGGTTGGGAGACGTGCGAGAAGAGGATGACGTACTGTACTTCAGGACCTCATCGAACTGCTTCAGATGGTCCATGATCACATCCCTGTGCTTCTCGAGGATTGCCAGGGCAATGAAGAGGTGGAAGCTGCTCGACAGGTAATCCGTCCATAACGTCTCCCACAGACGCAAGACGTCCACCCATTCGAATTCACGCTTGTACCAGACCAGGAGCATGCGAAAAAAGAAGAAAAAGTTGGTACTATCGGCAGATTGGAGGTGGAGGTACAGCTGCGGATCCATGAGCTGAACGAGGTGGTCCAATGTAGTCAGCTGTGCGCGCATGCCGGATTGATCCCGGAGGAAGTTTTGTTCCTGGTTCACCGTGTTAGCATAGCATGAACAGCTTTTGTGTGCTGCGAAGAAATCGTTACCATCCTGTCCATGAACCCGACAAAGGCCCAAAATGCAACGGCATCATCCTGCATGACCGCATATATTGGCGCTAAAAGATCGCTCATGCCTTGGACATATCCAAGATCAGGGTTGTATTCGTTATATGTCAGAAGCATGTCTTTCATTTGTTCTAGATGCACGTTCGTTCCGGTCTCGGCAAAAGGCGAGTCAGGATCTGGATGGGGGATGTCTTCGCCAGCAAATAGGGGTATCGTGCGATCTGTGCGATGGACATCTTTCTCTGCGGGTGGGTCAGTACTGAACAGTCATGCAGTCCTCAAAGTACCTACCTATTCTGTTCCTCTGCTCTTTCCACCAGTCATACTCTTCTGCCGTGGAACCGCCTTCGATCATCTTTTCCCACCAAGCACCTTTCAAACGAATGTACTCATCTCTCTTCGAACTGATCAGAGCCTGGCGCTCGTCGCGACAACTATCCCACGGATACACGCCGAGAAGGAAAAGCCATGCCTCTTTCCGGACGCCGTCGTTGGGGTCCAGACCACCGTGGAATATTCGCTCCTTCACTTCTTCAACAGTCACTTGCAACCGACCCGTATGCGGGTCGAAGAAACCCTCCCACTCTTTCAGAGTCACTGTTTTCCGGCGCTCTTGGATGGACAAGGTTCCCGTCTCCAGTTCTAGGATCTCAAAGTCGCCCACTGAGCTATTCTCCATGCCAAGCACATCCCGCGCAGTCCAGATGCGCTGGTTCCTTTCGCGCTCACTCTGTTCCGAGATGCTCATGGCCCAACGAGCAAGGTAGAGCCTAGCGCTGTCGAATTCATCCTGCAGAGTCTGGATCTCAGGCGTCCTCATCAAGCGACGAACCTGGGGAGGTATCCTGGGGTTGTCCGCCAATTCATTCGCGGTTCGCCTGGTGAAGGTCGTAATCTTGCTGAGCGATTCAAGAACTTTCCACCGTGCTTCCTTAAGCGTCTTGACAAACGGGTCCATGCCAGCATCTGGTTGTCTGCTCCCCCCAGGTTGCGCTGGAGCAACAGTCTGGTCCTGTGAGTTCCTCGCGGCGTCCGAAGTTGGTTGTTGTCCGAAGGAGATCCTATCCTCCTCGGACGGATTTATGAGATAGACGCTACTGTCCAGAGCGGACCGTTGCACCTCGACGTATCTCCGGAGCCATCGCAGCACCTCGTCCCCACCCCAGAACACACTCCCATCCTCTCCGAAGGGATCGAAGCTCTCCCGGGTTCTCTTCTTCTTCTGCAGTATCGTCGACTCGCACTCGCTGTCGTGGAAGAATAGTGCGGGGAAGCTGTCCCCGGCGCGGGTGTTGATCACGAGACTGCCAAACCACCATCCCAGACTTGGCGGTCGCACAAGGAGTGAATAGATCTCTGACAGGGGCACGGCGAAGGCGTAGAGGCCTATAGGGTCTTTGTAGGTGGTCGTGGTGGGGAGAGCGGGCACAAGGTATTTCTGTCGCGGAGGGGAGGCGCCGTCCGATAAGTCAACTTTGACGTAGGTGCTGTAGGCGTCACCAAGGGAGGATTCCGGTACCCAGGCGAGGAGGTAAGATGAGATGTCTTTGGTGTGGTTGGTAGCGGTAGAGGTTCCGGAGGCATACGGCAGGGGCTTTTGTTGGATCAGGGCAATAAACCCAGGGATATTGTCTTTAGAGGAGGGAGTGGGGTGGACATAGACCTATGATGCGCGGAGAAAGGCGGGGTTAGCTATGTTGACAGCGACACTCAAGCATGGGAGGACGGACTTTGCTCTTGGAGAATAGAAGCTTGACTCCTCGGCGGGAGGTCGAGTGAGAGATCGTGTTATAGTCGTCCTCTTCGTCATCGCTGACATCGTAGTAGGAGGCCGTGGGCGAAGGCGGCGAAGGCGGGGGCGTGTATTTGACTCGGTTGCCTGCCATAGTGATAGCTCGGTCGCACACGGCTATCTCATCGGATTTGAGTTGACAGTTGCAATGTGCGAGCGATAGTTTCGAAGTATGCTATGGTAAGAATGTTGACAAAAAGGAGACAAACTAAGTAGGATGGCACAAGTCAGCGGACGGTCGGAGGAGAATTGCGGAGAAAAGACGAGTGGATGAATGTGGTGAAAGAGAGAGAGAGAGAGAGAGAGAGAGAGGGAGGGAGGGAGAGTCACGGCGGAAGGTCACGACGTAATCATCGGACGACCCACCACGAATTTCCCATGTGATTCGCAGCCGTTCCTTACCGGCCTTCTTGAATATCTATAGAGATATATAAGATACAACTTGAATGCAATTCAGACTGCGCAAGAGGTGTTTGTCACAGAGTATTCAATGCTTAGAATCAGAAAGACATAGCAGAGGATGTAACTTATCTTACCTTCTGACAAATTTCATCGCCACCGGCAGGAATGATGGTCCGCAGCCAGGCAGCAACTAAACCCATCGACATTGCGCTCATCCAAGGCATCAGTCATTTACCAGAGAGAATCTAAAGTCTAGGTATACGGAGTGCCCATCAATCATTGAAGTCTTCTGCCAAGAACCAGAATTGCGAGTCCTATATCTACTACTTGCCCCGCGCTCACAGAACGCCCGAAGCATCTCGACACATACTCTGAATTACTCACTACCTTGGTCTTGCAGCACCGATCGAGCTTGTATTGCACGGAGGGCATCAGCAATCTATGATTGGCCAATCTATCGGCCATATGTCCAGTAGTACTCGAGCCTCCATGGAACGCTGCAGTGCAAAAGTACAGTCAGTACATGTAGAGAACCGCCAACACGGGATCTCATAACCTCTTCAGGAAACGATACGCCTGTCCAATGGAAACTTCTGTGGCTGCAGGTCACCACTTCAAGGCGCATTGCATCCGTATCTATAAGAAAGGAAAGCAGACCGACCAGCGGAAGCCTGGATAGATAGCTGGCGCCATTCCTGACACTGACCTCAAAATCATCTCGAAAATGCCCGACCTTCATCGTACTTTGCCTGCATCCTGGTATCGTAGTCAAGGGCTCTATCAACTTGAACGGAGAGCGGTGTTTCTGAAGGCAAGAGACCTTGTGCTTCAGTGTGTTCACACCCCCCTGACCGAATCACGCCTCTAGTCATGGTATCTTTTAGGTCCCGTCACTCGATTCCGTGAGGTGGGCGCACAAGTCGAATACGAGATCGCTCAGCGCCCACTGGTTGCTTTTCGATGCTCCGGAGATGGCCCTTATCCTGGTGCAGAAGAGATCCAGGTGCGATGCTTGAAGACGGTAGGCTTGGAGACCGCACAGTGATCGAAAGACATAGCGCTGAGAAGGCTACAGGAACGACCACTAAGACATCATGTTACTCCCACAGGTCTGGTCTTCGCAGCCCTGGGGGACGAGGCCCCGGATTTTCACGAGTATTTCCCCGAGCTGGAACCGTTGCTCCAGAAAGTGAACTTCACCAAGCTTCCGTACCGCCACAGCATCAAGTATGAAGGTCGATTCAACTGGAAGACTATGTATGAAGTGGTCCAAGACCACCAGATGGCGTCGCAAAGCTAGGCTGATTGATGTCAAACCAGGGTGGATGGCTACCAAGAGTGCCTGCATTGCCAGTACACGCACCCGTCCTTCTCCGTCTACTACCCCCCGACCTCGTACGCGGTGCACAACCATCGGAACTTCTCACAGCACATCGCCGACCCCGACAAGCCGGATGATGGTCTGTTTCTCTACTTTTTCCCGAACTGCACCCTGAATGTGTATGGCGGGGGCATGTCGTCGTTCCGCGTCTGTCCGACGGAGGATCCTAATGTGACGAGGATGGAATTCGACTACTACCACATGGAATCGGGCGAGAAGTTCGAGCAGTACTATAAGTTCGTTCGGCAGGTGGCTATGGAGGATTACGAGCTGTGTGAGAAGGCCCAGGACAACCTTGTCAGGGGCATTTATAGCGAAGGGATCTTGAACCCGGAGAAGGAGAATGGGGTATCGTGTGAGTATGCTTCCTTAGGTCTGTGAATTGTTGAGATGCTCATCTTTCTCAGTCTATCAGGGTCGTGTGTTTGAGCTCGTGTGCGAGCAGTATGCTGTTGATCAAGTGGAACAAGTGGGGAGTAAGAAGGCAATGGCATATAAGGAAGGAGCTGAGGTGACTATGGCTGTTGTTGCATGATACCGGGATGGAACGGTGCGGACATCCGTGATAGCTAAATGGGTGGTTTGCCATCAACGTTCGAGGCCAGAAGCAAGAAGAATTGTCCCATTATTGTCCATGCTGCTTGTAAGAAAGATAAGAACTTGCCAATCTCAAGTCCAATGATCGAATGCAGCTCAATCTTGACCGTCAATATCGGGTGACAATTTGGCACCGTGGACCCTGGATAGTCTCACCAAATTCGGCAGGTCAATGAGGGGTATGATTCAAGAAGAAGTCTAATCGTATCACAGCATGACAGTCTCCTACTGGCCGACTCTGGTGGTTCATGCAGGCCGGTGGAGACGGATTCCAGCGCTCTGACCTCGGTGACAATCGAGCATCTATATAAACACTCTTTTGCACCCAGGCTGGGAGTGACATCTCTCTAGGAATTCTTTTCAACTATATCTGTCTGTTAAAATGGAAGCATTATACTCAGTAGCTCCACCAGCTTCAACAGCACCTCTAGTAGTTGGACTGCTAGTCGGATTAGCGTTGCTATATCAGACCTGGACTCGTTCCTTTCTCCAAACATACTTCAAATATCCTCCTAGGTCAACCAAGCTCCCTTCACCCGAGCCATCTCTAGAGCACGAAGAAACCATCGCAGTTAGCAAAGAGCCCGATTACCCTGCCGATTGGTGGACAGGCTCGAGCACATATGAACTCGAACGTCGCGCAATTTTCAGTAAAGTAAATCCCCCCTCCCTCATAACCTTCAAGCCTTCTCCCAATATTTAACACCTCAAACTCAGCACTGGCTCTGCCTCTCGCACCGCAGTCAATTCTCCAAACCAGGCGACTACCGCACCTTCACTGTCGCCGGATATCCCATCTTCCTGATTCTAGGCAAGGACGGCGCGCTCCGGGCCTTCCACAACGTGTGCCGCCATCGCGCATACCCAGTCACTCGGAAGGACAGCGGCTCGTCCACCGTTCTCGGCTGTCGGTATCACGGCTGGACCTACAACAGTCTCGGGCAGCTCATCAAGGCGCCGCACTTTGACGGGGTGGCGGGGTTCGATCGCGCACAGAATGCCCTGTTCGCTGTGCATACTTTTACAAGCCGGGCGGGATTCGTGTTTGTAAACTTGGATGCCAGCCTGACGGTTCCGCCGCCGGAGGTAGAGTTGCTTGATGCTTTTGTGGGGTCTCGTGAGGTTGCGCTGCAGTCGAGGTGGGAGGGTGGGCAGACGGTTGAGGGTCAGGTCAATTGGAAGCTGAGTGGTAGGTTATATCTTCTTGGAGGGTTGCAGTTGTCTTGCTGAGAGTGCTGTTTAGTGAAAATTGCCGAGTCTTTGATCGACAACGAGGGTACAAGGAGCGTGGGATCCCAGCGAAGGTTTGGTTCTTGGTTGTTGAACAGGCTTGGGGTTTTACAAGAGGGCTCCGCAAGCTTGAAAGTCTTCCCGATCACGGCAGTCAAGACAATTGAGAGAACGGGGTATTGGTACACGCTGACCTGCATCCCGGTGTCTGCGCAAAAGACCTCTTTCCGACTTGATTTGTATAGCAGCAGCAGCAGCACGAGATTCTCTGAAGCTGAGACTATAGCGCAAGAGACGACTAATCAGCTGCGGAAAACGATCGCTGAGCTGGAAACGGCATATCGCTCGTATCTCGAGGATACTAGGTATAACTCGACTACTCCTATCACGGTAAAAGTCGACACTTCGGTCCCCATTAGCTCTGCATGCGTGACTCCTCAATCAGCTGCAAAGGATGCAGGTAAGTCGACCGATAAGCTAGTTGAGACAGGATGTGCGATAATCATATCTGACGACATTCTGATAGGCATGCAAGAAGCTGTCCTTGATGCACTGAAGGCCCATTTGAAGTTGGAAAGGCAACAAGGAGCCGAAGTATTCCCCGCCATGAGGAAGCCCAGGGAGAATGCAAGGTTTGAGCAGGCGGAAAAACGTAAGCCAAAGTCCTCATAGCCCTTGCTTGAGCAGATAATCGCTGACACAGTCAAAGTTTGCAAGGAGCTGGATTGTGTAGATCAAGGCCCGGATATGTCCTGGTGATTTTGTATTGGAGAAGTCCATTGTTGTTAGTAGTCTCATGATGATCAAAGGCATAGCAGCACCATGAAATGTGGTCCGCATGGTGGTTTCAATGGCCAAGACATCCTCCATGTCTCGCTAAGAAGAGTAGTACTTCCTGGATTGTACAGTATGTAGTATAGCGCGGGTACCGCACTTCTGAGCAGACCCTGACTCTAGTGGTTTACGGTAAGGTGTGGTGGGCCCGAATCGCAACCACCAACAAGAAAACAAAGCCAGTCAGTCGGTCAAGGATCCGCTGGCGCCGGCGGCGTGTAAACCTTCCTTTTTCTCCCACCCCCACAGCGCCATCCCTAAACCTGCTCGTCATCGCTAACCTACTACTAAAACCCCACCCCTTGTCCATTTGATTCTTTTTTTCGTTGTCACGTCTCTATTTCCTACCAAAGCATCTCCAAAGCATCTCTTGTTGATCCCTTGAAGTTTGATCATATATGTGGCTCCGTGGATACGCACTCCTGAAACCAAGCTTCAGCTATCCCAATCGGTTCAAGCGCAAAAGAGGCCCAGCTTGAGCGACTCCACGTGGCCTAGAACTACACATCATTTCAGCCTTCCTCCGATATCGTCATGGCACTTCCCCCAATAGCCAAGGCAACCTTACAAGCCGCAGTGATCAATGCCGGTTCCAACGTCTTAGCGCAGGCCATCGGCGCCTACAAAGATGAAGTACGTACGGTCGCAATGCTTAGCTGTTTACGGCGCAAGGACCTGGGATTCCCGAGTCTGCAGCTGCAACGTAGCTAACACGACCCTACAGAGACCCTTTGAGCTTGACAGTCAAGCACTTCTCCAGTTCACAACGTCCGCATTCATTCTCTCGCCCCTAACCTTCCTCTGGCTCGAAGGACTCGAGGCCAGGTTCCCCGGCCAGAAGGTGGTTCAGGCATCAAAGGCCACAACGGAGGGTGCTGCAGGGGCGCAGACCAAACTGAACGTAACCAACACCGTTTTGAAGATCGTCATCGACCAGGTGGTGGGCGGTGCCTGGAACACTGTCGCCTTCATCACGACGATGGGACTCCTGCGTGGTCAGGACTGGGAGACGATCACACTGCAGATTCAAAATGTATGGTTTTTCTTGGTCCATTAAAAACAGCAAATGAACCTCCGACGGGCGATGGACTTGCTAATTCCTCTCTGACTAGGATTTCTGGCCTATCCTGGTCGCAGGTTTCAAACTCTGGCCCTTTGTGTCAGTCTTGAACTTCACGGTGGTACCAGTTGATAAGCGACTACTTGTTGGGAGTCTGTTTGGTGTTATCTGGGCGGTTTATCTTAGTCTTATGTCTGGTTAGCTTATATTGCCATCATTAGTGCATTGCTTGGAGCATACAACTTCCGACAGGAATCACATACAACTCATAGCGAACAATGTCCAGGAAAGCATGCCATGTAATAGCATTGGTCTTTTTCTCGAAGACCAGGCGGAAAAGACGTTGTTGATCAATGCTGTGATGACCTTGTCTGTCTGAGACAGAAGAGGCTTGATTGGGTGCTGCCAGATTATGCTGGTCGTTTTGGAGACTCAAGAACATTGTGTGGTGAGACTCTAGAGAAATGACGCCTTTCTGTTTGGTTGTGTTTGTGGTGAAATCCCTTGGCGTCACACCAAGCGTTCCGGTTGGAGGCTTCGGTTATACTCGAGTAGATGATAAGCAGCACCATGGACTGTTAGCTACGGTACCCTACTCTGAAACAGCACAACAATGCATTCACCTTGATTCTGGCGACTCGGCCGAAGAATTGACCGAGGATTACACCAACACTGAAGTGCACCTTATATCCGGCTCTCATCTTAGGGCCATCTAAAGGTGCCGTAGCAGAAGCTAACTCAAACTAATGTCTTTGAGTTTCATACTTGATCTGGGGGCGGGAAAACATCTTCCTACATTCCCAGGTACATTGTCACCGCGTAACCTCTCCAAGGCAGCAAGCATGATTCAGCCCTGCTGCTGTCAAGTCCCAAGCAAGCATCTTTTCCCAGCATGCAGGCAGAGGTCCATGTCTGGTTCCGAGCGGGAGTCCCTGGAGTATAACCAAATTCGGTATGGCGGAGTGGAGCAACCCTCTATTTATAGGAGAACAACTTGTCAGGTTCCATGCCAGTAGACAAGTAGAGGATGAGTATCTGTATGCCATGCCATGTCAAGTGATCCTTTGAACCTTCTAGACAGGCTACGCCGTACAGTGACCCGCAAGCCCCGCAGAGATGTTTGCCAGGCACTGATAATCGCGGCTTCGAGGTTGTCGATCCTTACTGAATACAAGTAAAGCAAGCAAGCAAGCAAGCAAGCCTTTGCTCTGAAACAGCGTTGGCTCATTTCCAACTGTTCAACAACGGCGTGGCGGTTTGATCACCGTCCCTGGAGAGCCATGCATGAACTCATCGTAGGTGCTTACAGTCTGATCCGACCCTGCATGAGAGAAGGTGTTAAGGCTTAGAGCCATACTCTATCCTTTTTAAGATATTGCTCTTGAGGTCAGAGCCGGTTGATTTCTCAACAGGGGGCTGGAATTTTCCCGTGACTTCATGCAGGTCTTACATGCCGGTGTCCGAGAACTTCAAGCGAAACGCTCTGAATCCCTACACTTTACTTCTCTTCAGGTTAAATGGACGCAACAAATCGCAGGGACATGTTTGGGGGGGGTTTTATGTTCTTGGTATCGGATCGATGAAAAGGAAAAGCCATGTTACGTGTACAGGATAGACTACGGAGCACCTGGGAACTGAAACGAGTCACTGTGTGTGGCACTGCCTCTTGATCCAGCTAGGAGAAAAGTGGCTGCGACATACTGTGCATGTACATGCGGAGAAAGACACCGTGCAGTCTGCATCCTTGATACCCGCCGTACGGTACGGTAAAATTACGCTTGCCAGGGATGGTTGAAGATCCGATGGCTGAGCAGCTGGCGCAGCCAACATCTGCATTTTTTCTATCACTCGTGTTATGTATAGTTAGTAGTCTCTTTTCTATCTAAATTAAGTAAGTAGTAACGTTACTTACTACCATTATCTACATAATCTCGAAAGATCTAATTTGCAAGAGTAGAAGCCAGATGAACATTCTATGCTCTAACTTACCACGGGCACCCCACCACTGTTCCTGCTTATGTATGTACGGTATTGTATTGTTTTTTTGGCCCCCGCGGTTCGACAATCCCGTCCCTCCCCCATCCATGCCTTTCCTCCCTCGTGTTGTGTATCCTCCCGCCTATCAGCCTGCCTGCTCATTAATTATTTCCGCTGGCGTCATGTCGTTAGCACTTCACCTAACCTCTGCTAGAATCCTGCCTTCCTTACCTTACATTCCTGGGTAAAGGGGGGTGGGAAGGGGTAGTCTCTCCTACACGTGGTGACTAGACTTGCGTTGCTTTCTTGATCTTCTTTTATCCCACCGTCGCCCCCGCGCAATCAGTCGAGTCCCCTCACGCGAGAACCTTGTCCAACCATCTACACTGTCTATCTGCTCGAGTATCTGTCAGCGACACCAAACCCTCGCAAGGTCAGTTCATTCGCTGTTATTTGTCGCACGCTCGGCGATGGAATCTGGATGATTATTTATACGGTCCCACTGCAATCTATTGTTTACCCCGAACTATCCGTCGGCGATAGTAAGCTGACTCTTGCATGCAAGAACAGCGTCCCTAAGCCGACTGCGCTCAATTCGAAAGCTGCCTGCCATCCCTGATTCTTTTCCCTCGATCAAAAGTCTCGCTACTAGGTTCTGTTCCAACACAACAATTCGAAAAAAATATCTTTTCAGTGTTCGAATTCGGTCCATAGGACTTGATTCGGAACGAGTGCAGTGCGACGGACAGGGAACCCCTCCGCCGGTCGCATTGATCATGCCTGCGGAGCGGCTGGCATAAAGCACGTCTAAGGTTGTGCAGCGTGGATTGACGCACTCGATTTGCTCGACGTGATACCCAAAATATCTACTCCCTTATCCAGATCCCGAGTCTGGTATCACCTCGAGCGGGGCTCGGGTGGTTGTGACACCTAAGACACGAAGGCCGTGGCGGTTTTCTAAGATGAACACACTAGAGACGCTCAGCCACGCCTCTCAGCCAGCGGGGGTCAAAATGTTCAATATTCATGATCTCCACGGTCTAGACAAACCAAAGCCTGAGGACGCATCCTGGTCAGATATCGCGGAGGACGATGAAGACGATGACGAGGAATCGATTTCGCCCATGTCCGACAAGCCGCCATCGTGGTCAGGAACGCGCTGGGCTCGCTTTTTCCCGGAACTTGCTTCCCACTTTTCCCTGGCGTCTCCTACAAGCAATACCGCTCAAATCCCATCGAGAACGAAGACTGATCCGACTGGTCCCTTGGACTCTCCGACGAGCTTGAAATCATCCGACTCGCCGGGAAGCAAAGGTCGACCGCCCTCGGTATCATCAGCAGAGACCACAGACAAGCGACCTTCAGGATATACTCTAAGATCTTCGATCACGAGTCAAAGCTCTCTGAGCTTGTCTTCCGGGCGAAATTCTCCGTATTCAGTACATGCTTCCTCACTAGATCTGTTGGGATCCTTCGAAGGCGATGGGAAGTCACAAAGTTCCCCATCTCGAACTATATCCAGGCACTCGTCAACCAAGGAGCTGAGAGACAAACCACTTCCCCAAGAACCGTCATTCCCACTGCCACCATTGTTGGCCCGCCACAGATCTCATCATTTGCCCAGAAGCCGTGAGACTGGGCATAGCAACTATCGGTCTCTGAAGTCACCCTCGCTGCCTGATATTCAGGAGAACTATCATCGTCCGTCGCTGTCTAAACCTGCCGGACCAGTGGGACAGAATATGACTCGTCTCACAGAATCACAGCAAACAAAAAAATACACTTCCCAAAGGCATCTACATTACCCTGATGGGAATCTGCAGATGCGTAGAGAAAGCATGGGAACGATGGCTACAAGGCTAAGACCAATGTCTCCTATGAGTATTCATGATGTGCAGCAGGCCGTCAAAGCTCAATCCCGCGAGGGGTTGAGCCAGACAAAGAAAGACTCCAAGAACAAAAGGTCGTTCTCTTTTGGTCTGCCGGGCCTCAACCATTGGTCTAGCCGACCCGAATTTCGACCTTCCGGTAGCCCTTTCACCGCGTCAGCATTAGACTCCACATCACACTCATCCTATCTTACTGGAGATGAGGACAAAGGTGAAGTGGCCGAACTTCCGGGCTCCCCTGTCACAGTTTCGAATGTCACCCCAACATCCAATGACAGCAAGCAGGAGCAATTTCCAACACTGTCGTCCTTGCAGACAAAGGAAATTGGCAATGCCGGTTTCACGAAGCCGGCACTACCTCAATCCATAGCAAAGAAAATGAACGAGAATGCCAATCACGTTCCGAGATATAATAAGCTGAATGATGTGTTCGTTGAGGGATCGTCAGAGAAATACTTTGTGTCTCACAGCAAGTATGGGGGCGTGGCTACAAATACATTTCGACGCCAAAATGCTTCGCAGGCTCCCACCATATATGAGCTCGACGCCAATCCTGCCGTATCGCAAGTCAAACATTCAAGCGACACCACGCACAACAGCCAAACCCTTGTAGAAGGAATGCGCAACACATTGCCTGAGGCTATTATCCTAACGATTTTGCGACAAGTTGACTCGCTCGACGACCTCTTCAATGTCTCGTTGATCTGCAAAAGCTTCTACCGCTCTTTCAAAGATCATGAGTTGGAATTAATCAAGAACGCTGTTTTCGCCATGTCACCACCTGCGTGGGAATTGCGCGAGATGAGTCCCCCTTGGGGTACAGAGTGGCAGGTACTCGTTGACCCCGATGCTCCTGTTCCTGAGTATACTCCGGCGCTCTATCTCAAACACTATGCGCAAGATATTTGTACCGTTGCCCAGCTGAAGTCCATCATCCTAGCCCGATGTTCGTCATTTTTGCGCCCGGATACGATTCGCGGGCTGTCTGGCCTGGACGATGCCTGTGCGACCGAGGTTGATGAAGCCTTCTGGCGGGTCTGGACGTTTTGCCGTTTGTTTGGTTGCGGCAAGCACAGAGAGGGTGATATCGCCGGACAAATGGCATGGCTTGAAGGCGGGGTAAATGTCACCGACCAGCGTGTCTCTGTGGCACAGTCTATAACTGATCATTTCGACATGGGAAGCGTCTTATTTGAGCCTCCTACGGGGTTTGGACATGGTAACACAGGCGGTTTATCGCAGAAGCAGCTACACAGCATGACTGAAATCTGGACCTGCCTTGGCGTACTGCTTCAGCCCATGCATGGAAAAGCTAGAATGGCACGAGAGGTTGGGGTGTTTGATGGACACAACGTGAAAGACAATGCCACTGCAAAGGAGGAGGCAGTTCTAGGTAAGAGGACAACCTGCTCCGATTGCTAACCTAATTTCGAGTATGTTCACCTGAGCTAATGTGGTGTATGAGCAGAGGAGTGGACCCATTATATCCTCACGCTCGGTTTATCAGCAGTCTTGACCCTCGGCTCGATCACAACGGATGAGAATACTGTTTTGGCTAATTTCCGGAAAGCCCAATCTATGGGGCTGACGAACTGGCTGTCCTCGGATACCGTTGCCACCCGGTCATCGTTCTTGCGGGACGCTGTATCGAAAGCGTATAAGCCACGGGGAGGGACGCGCTCCGAGTCATCATCCAGAGCATCCAGTCCGTTCGATAACTCCCCTTTGAGCGACAGCCCTGTGACAAGTGACCCTTCGCTGGACATGCAGCGCCGCAGACAAGCAGCCTACTCGATGCAGCTCAAGTTCCAGAAACAGCAATCCATGAACCTGCCCAAGCCACCCCCGCTCGTAGAAGAGCGACCGATTTCCCATTATGAAATGATCATCAGTCGCCTTGAAGGTCAGTCAGGCGGGCCAGCCCGAATGGAGAGCTTGGTCTCTCCTCCAAGGGCCAGCCCCACCGTGCCAGCCTCAAACCAGCGAAGCACTGCGCCTGCCCTTCGACACCCGCAAGTCCAAGACCCAACAGACAAAGCCCTGGATCTGCTGGTTCGAGAGCTAGGTTTCAAGGAGGAAGACGCCAAATGGGCCCTGAAGATCACGGACAGCGGCGAGGGGATCAATGCCAATGCAGCGGTCTCCTTGCTCAAGCGGGAGCACAGGAATCGACAGGAAGGGCAAGGGCGTCGGACTCCGCCCAGTGAGAGTCTCCTGTCGTCGGTCATCAATAGTCCTGAGTCCAGAACTTCGGGGTGGAAATGGGCCAAATCGTTGTAGTGCATGTTCTACCGGGCTAAGTGACCTGGATATTTTGGAGTTATTGTTTTTCGGGATGGTTGCTCGCTCATATTAAGCACTAGCCTTCCGTGCATTTTGGAGTTTCTTTTCTCTACCTCGGTGTTCTTCTTGATGTGGGGCTTGATACCACCGTCCCTACAATATTTGTATACTGTTTCATTCATTGCGGGTCTGCGATGTGTGACGACTTTCATGAGCTTTGTCTGACATAGAGAATTATATCACTAGTCCTGTGGGTCTAAGAGAGTACAATAGATAGATGTTTAGAGTAAAGCTCAATCCTACTCGTAACATTGACTCCCCTTTCGACACCCCAAGTAGGCAACCTTGAAGGTCTAAGGTAGCCAGGTCGGTCCATTGACTGACAGAGTATTGCGCCAGCTGCCCCACCCAAGTAGTATACCACACATAACTACCTAGTACTCTCCATCGAGTCCAGACGACGACTACTTAACTCAACGTACTCACTAGATCCGAACAGAATCAACACAAATGGATGCAAATACCTGTGACATCCAGCGAACTGCCAGAGTCGAACCGGCTGCCTCACCTACCGTGCCCGTAGCGATAACTGCCGACTTAGCTGTCTGCCTCCGCTACGAAACAGTCAGGGTCGAAAACCATGGTTAGGAACATGACACCGGATGGATCACTCCCATGTGTGACAGTTGTGATCAACAGTGTGAGTTGAGCAGGTCGCCATGCAAGGTTTCAATGCTGAGATGGCCCTGACGGATCATACTGACGGTGGTTGTTTGACGATAGGGAGAGAGTTAATGCTTTCAATGCAGCGCGTAAGCAGACGGCATGCCGCTATAGAGAGTCGGTGTTGTGAGGTCGACAGCGATGCTAGGTCAGGATGACGAGGATCATGTGATGTTGACACCAGCAGCAAGAATTGACTCATTGTTGATGGCCGCCACCTCCCACAACCATAGAATTATCCAGCAGCACCAAGTCCAATGTTCAATATCGAAGAGACCAGCAACAGACCACTTCTGACTGTCGATTCCCGTTAATCAGTATGATGGTCCCCAAGTTGTCCAAGCTCGCTATAGGACCAAGAACCCTTCGACCGGCTCAATCTTTCTGGGGTTCAGAGATGGTACCAGCAAACGATAGATTGACATCGGACTCAGGACTACACTCAGCCAAAACGCTCGATCCGGGAAGAACCCCAAGGCCAGACGCATCCAGGATATTCTTCATCCCTGAAATCCTCGAGATGATCCTTTTAGATTTGGAAATTTACACCATCCTGATGCTCACGCGCGTGTGCTCAACATGGAATAATCTCATCCAAACCTCTTCGAAGATCCGCAGGGCCCTCTTGTTTGCGTCCCGCATAATCCAGGCGGGCGTGTCTTACGATATCACAAAGCGCGAATTGGAGATTGTCGTACCACCAACCTCGGAAGGCCGACCCAGATGGCCCTATACTTACTCCTGGCGCGACCACTGGCGGACCATGCTCCTCCAGAACGCTCCGAGTTCGAGAATTCGCGTCTTCTGCCCTGGTGTCCCCTTAGATCACGAGAGAGCTTGCTGTCCCCTTTACGGCCCACACCGGCCATACAAATGTCTTAATCACTGCCAGATAGAGATCTCGTCTGCCCATGAATTGCAGCATTGCGGGAAGATGGAAGTAGTCGTTGTGCAGGAATGCCCAGATCGGGAGGGCATTCCCAGACCCGTGAAGCTAAATATGTGGTTTCAAGTCCTACCGCAGGGCGACAGCGAAGACTACTTGCTTGAATACAGAGGTTGGTCTTCACTCCCTGATTGGTGAAAGGGGATATCTTAGAGCTGCAGCCGAAGAGGTGTGAATGCTTCCGATCGACTTTTGGCCTTCTGATTTGGAAATTGCCTAGGTTAGGCGGCGATGTGGGATGAAGCTTGCTGAGGGAGGGGAAACAAGGATAGCATAAGTGGTAGCACAAGATAAGATGCAGGTCTGCCGATATAGATGCTGTGTGCAAAGAACAACGCATACTCGCGATCAAATTGCTACTCATGAGCCTGCTACATCGTTTCGAAATGTTCATCCCAGAAACCATAACCCACCAGAAACAACACGTATTTCCACAAGTTCTGCCTCTGTTGAATCAGTCAGGCATGAATAGTGATTTTGTCAAGGCTTCACCCTTGATGAGTATCCTCAATGCTTCTACTGTCATTGAATTTCGCTACCCATACTCCAAGCAGAGATGAATCAAGTCGCATTGAATGACCGCAGAGGACTATCATGGTAGGACAATTAGTCATGAATTACTTATTAGCATTAGCTTGACCTACTAATATACTGCTTAAACCCACCTAAAACCTCGAACCTCGCTGCCAGGCTAGACACCTCCAATACAAGAAGCCTCTCCGCGGACCCCACAAAGGCTGAAAACCCTGGGTCCATAGCTCCAGGTGCATGAACACCAGGAATGGGTCCACGACCGTAAGCGAATTCCCGGCCGCATACTCTGTACATATCCCCGTATTCTATACAAACATTTCTCCTTGGAGGAACCGTAGTTCCTTGGTTCATCGATCTTGTCTACCTGGTGGCCGGGTTGGTCGACACCACGTCAAAACTAACTAGCCCTTCTTAGTCAAGTACTCGCCCGCGGCCATGAAGGCGTGGTGTATACAGGGATTAGGATGAGCGGACTGGGTCTAATCGTTCTTCTTGGGTTGGAGTGCGCACCTGGATGGGAGACTGGAAGCCAAAGGAGGTGCTTAGCGATCAAGGCGTAGAGTTTCTATTTCGAGTGGCGTGGAGGTAGTAACCCTAGAGATAGCCCGATCTGGACTGAGCTACTCCTTCGAGTTGACGTAATACGAGCACCGGTGGCTGTACCGCTACTGGTTGCAGAGGTCGAGGGATATCGGACTAAGTACTCCGTAGCTGATCGCTCATTTATGTTCTTGTTTCCGAAAAGATCATCTGGCTTCGAAGGGACTGAAGGGTTATATACCGATGGTCATCTGTTCAACTTACCCATCCCCAGGCGGGCGATTGTCATCTATTGCCCTGGAACGACCTCGGGTAAAGCAGTATCAGATATAGATCGGAAGATCCTTGTGTGGCAGGGCCAGTCGATCCTTGTGTTCGCATGGCCTTGGACGCCCCCTGACCTCACCAGCTCGGGAACTGTGCGTACTGCGCACACTTACCCACAGTCTGCGAGTGATCTACAGAGCAGCGTGGAGTGATTGCGTGGTATATGCAGGAATCTGGTTGATCTTAGATAGATGACAGCTTTTCAGTTTAAGCGATGCATTGCATTTGCTGGGTGGTGGTGGTGGACGATCCGGACGGCATTGCGCGATAAGGGCTAAACTTTAAAGCTGCCCGCCCGTCCGACGGATCCCTTCAGGTACCGTTCCAAGTAGTTACAGTACAATAAACAAACTCTAGGACTATTAAACCTTCAACAGAAAAAAAAGAAAGGAGTATTCGTGGATAAATTCTAGCATCATTCATCGCTCATTCTTCGCGGGCTCTAGCTAACCGTACCCGCAGATTCTGTCTCATAAAGTCCAGAATTTGGTAGCTCCGAGAAAGGTTTGGAGGAATGTGCTGTGCGATCTTGAGGGTTCGGGAACGCGTCCGACCATGGCCGATTCGATAGGAGAATGATAGAGAGCCACCGGAATCATCTTCATGCCACGCTTCTGGAAAACAGGCCAAATAAAAGCAAAAGAAAGAGGATTTCCCAAGCCAGGACGCGACTATTGCCGGAGCTATCCCATAAGCCGGTCAATTATTGGCAAAATTGGACCCGCGTTGCCGGATTTGTGATATATCACTCTTCCTTCGGGCCAACGCGCACTCGAAACGCGTCGATCGCGGAACGAGGAAAGAACACTTCGATTTCTTTCCCCCAAGACCGAATATGACAGATGAATGGGTCACGGAACTCTCAGAATATGATCTATCGGGCTCGTTTAGTCCGTGCAAGGAAGTGGTTCAGTCATGCGGTGAACGATTGACAAGTTGCTGAGATGTGAGCTGCTTGTATCTCTCGGCTTCTGGAGGGAGAAGAAGAAGAAGCTCAATGCAAGGGGGTTCGTCTGTTATTGGAAGGGGAGCGAAACGAGGGGAGTAACTCGAAAAGGTCGACAGACATTGCCGTTCAGTATGAAGATAGGATACAATCGAGAGGATGGACAAAGCAACAAGTGAAGTGACGTTGGATGGTGATGCAAGATGCAAGAAGGAGACTGACAAACCCAATAAACCAAATCCCCCCTCTCTTCCCTCCTTCCCTCTTTTTTCTCTCCCCCACCACCACTACAATCACCAACACTACCAAGAACTATCAGAACAACAATCCACAACCACCGCATCCACCTTCATTCAACCCTCTTGAAACTTCGTTTCCACACGACCCATGCGAGGGATGGTGAGTCCCGACCACGCTAGAGGCGACCCTCTCCCCCCCCCCCCCCCCCCCCCCCCCAGTTCCTCCTTGAAACCACCCAAGTATGCGGCACTACCGTTTACTGTGGGAAGAAAGGATGAATCCACCGAGCTTGACCTGCATATGTATGCATGGAGCATGTATGCACGCGCCAAAACCTTCGGCCGTCCAGTTCATTGAAAATGACGCCTCACCCACTCTGGCCTTGACGCTTGCTTTTCTCTTTCAAACTCTGTCTACTTGACACTCGAAACAGTCGTCATTCCTCGACGCTGTCTGTCTCCGTTGTGTCTTGTTTTTTTGTCGACCCTCACGCCCTCCCTCCTCTTGTACCCCTCCCTCTGCTCTTGCCCTCAAGATGGCTGCGGATTATGCTTCCTACACAAACACGGTTCATAGGTGAGACGATAGACCCTATATTCCTGCTGCCGCTCACTAATGGTCGGCCAGCAACGTCATCGACCAGCAACTATCACCGACGGATGCGAAACGGCAATATGAGAAAGAGATAATCCTCGGCAATTCCACCCACGGCGCCCCCAGCAGATTATTCCATACCAAGACCCGCATACTAAGAGGCTCAGACGTCCTCTTATCGTTGGCTGGCAGATCTACAAATGGTGCGCTATCTTCCTCGGATACTTACATTGCATGACGGACGGTCAGCATTGTAATCGCAACTAACCTAATCTCAACCTCAGCAGAATCGACAGATGATGTACAAGCTGGGGTGGAGAATTTCAAGAAAGTCTTACATCTGTTCCCGCCTTTTCACGATGACGACGGAAACACATTTGGTGCCGTGGACATTGAATGTCCCGACTGTGATGCGATATTTTCCTCACCGTACGACTGACTGCCTTTTTTCAAGTGGTAAATGAACGGGATCTGACTGGCATACAGCAACGAACTGAAACAGCACTATTTGACGAAATACTGCCCCGGAACTGCAGTCGCGGTATATGTGATGACTCGAGATCGGTATTGTTTCCTGCATCCCGTCTCTTCCGGATACCGGTACACTGATCGCGCATTCCGTTTCAGATTGATCACCAAAGGCTATCGGATGGAGAAGCGTCTAATACCAGTAAACTGTCGCCCGATTCGATTTTTCTGCGATTATTGTGATAAGATCTTCACCTTTGGGGAGGAGGACGAGAAACCAGATCGTCAACCTAGTATGGCTTCATGCTGTCATCTTTTGGAAAGGAAACTGACATACTGTCGCAGATGCGCCTCTCTATGTCAACTGCAAACATTGCGGAGAGAAGTGCAATGTCTCGTAAGTGATGCTTTTAGTCTTGCGTTTATATGTCAAATACTCACTCCAATGCCAGGTATCAACCTATATTGAACGATCCCCGCGACGACATCAACCCACGCGACATACAGAGGGAGATAGGCAATGCCTGCCACAGTCGAAGTCCCAGCATAACTCAGAGACCGTCAATGGGCGCGAAGTTCCCGGTTCCCCTGGGAGCAAATATAGATCAGCAGTCCTTTACCAGGAAAGCGAGGAAGTTACGAGATTCATGGTCATTCCGAAGTCTGTTGGCCTTTCTCTTCGCCCAGTCGTTGCAGACCTCATTTGCTGATTCGAACTAGAGATGTCACAGAGCGATGAAGATGAGCTGATTGCCATCAGCTTTGCCGGGCTATATGATTTAGAACGAGGTAAGAACCTTTTGATGGTGGGTTCAAGCTACCACTAACCAAGCAGTTCACGCGCCGAATGGCATATACCATCAGATAGAAAATAATAACGAATCCCAACTGAATCAGTCAACGATGAGCTTTGATTCAAATGGTAGACCCACATGATAATGCAACTAGGTGTCAACGCAGACTCTAACCGTGTATCCAGGACTGAATGACGCTTTATTCAATGAACCAAGGAAGATAATGTGTGAAGACGAAGACCAGCATACTTCGAATGATGAAGATGGGTTAATGGATGATACGAATGATCAAAAAGCGCAGCATACATCATCTCGAAGGCAATCCTTTTTGCAGAGATTGTTTGGACGGAAAGTGCCAAAGGGTTCGTGCGCAAAAGCCCACGATTCATTCGAAGTACTGACGGCCCATAGGAGTGTCAAGAGCACGATCCGCCAGCAGCCGTGGCAAGAAAATAATCGGAAGAGCTAACACGATACGTTTCTCCTTTGTCACCAAATACACTCGGAGCGAAAGCCGAGCGACAGGGCGCACAAGCGAAAGAGACTCGATAGATGCACGGACGCAAGAGACCACGGAGCCGAAACATGAATCTGCCGCAGATGCTGAGTACATTGCTTTACTGCGTAACTCGCAGAATGTTTTCATCCATACTCAATATATCAACGGTGGGGCCGTCGTCCATGATGCTTCTGGCCGCCAGCGTATCATCAAGATCGACGAGGTTGCTCAGGTCTTCTTACATATCAAGGAGGAGCTATCTTCCGCAAACTCTTGGTCCCGCATGCTAGCCACCAGGATGCGAGCCGAGAGCGCGTTAAAGCAAGGGAACGGACGAGCAGCAGTGGTCGAATACCATGATGCTTTGAAACTTCTCGAAGACGCGCCGTCCCTGGACATTGATAAACAATCGCGGGCGACCATGTTGCATGCCTTGGGGCAAGCTTATCACGGTCTGGATATGGCTGCAGAGTCCGAGGCATGCTATCTTGAGGCCCTAGGACTTTACAAGCGTACGTACGGCCGCGATCATCCCAAGAACTTCGCGCTTCTGCATGATCTAGGAGCCCTGTGCGAGAGAGACGGATACGCCACAGAGGCGTCGGCTCTATACGAGCGATCGTTCGCAGGTCGGCTGAAGACACTCGGGCACAACGCCCCGGACACATTGAGTAGTATGCAGGATCTTGCCTCGTTGAAAGTGCACTTGGGCGATCTTGAATCTGCGCTTCTTCTACTCGAGAAGGCGGTCCCAGCCCTTGACACTGTCTTTGGCCTCCAGAACGCAACAACTTTAAACGCAATGAACCAACTATCGCACTTGTATCAGAAGCTCGGTCTGAACAAAGAGTCTCGGACGATCTGCGGGCGAACCATTCCTCACTGCAAATCGTTCTTTGGGATCGTCAGCCCCATCACCAGGGAGGCCGTGGTGCGGTATCTCCAAAGCTCCGACAACTTTGATTTCCCTGCCGAGATCAAGGAGATCCTCGAGTATTATCAACGCTCGCGTGATTCGGATGCACTGAGAGTCGTTCACCGTTTAGGGAGGTCATACATGGATGCCGGCCTGAACCGCGAGGCGGCCAACTTATTCGAGGCTTTGGTCGAAGACTTTCTCGCTGCCAAAGGTCCCGAAGCCCCGGAGACATTTGATGCTCTGAGCGCGCTTTGCGTTTCTTGGGAACACCTCGACTCGGTTGACAAAGCCATTCTCGCGTACAAACAGCTCGTACACATGGCTAGCAGAACACCCGAAGACCACCACGCTCGGAAGCGCATAACTTACGCAGAAAAGAGGATCTCGGAACTCAATAGACGACGCGATACTCTCGCAGCGGAACGAAAAGAATGGGGTCTCCATGAGCCGGCAGCGTGTGAGAGCTGCGGCGATCCCACGACTGTACTATGCAAAAGTAAGTATGATTGATACCAGCAATTGAAGTAGCAGCGGACCTAACATCAAACTCTAGCGTGCAGAATCTTTCGCTTCTGCAGCGAGTCCTGCCACAAATCTGGCATTGATGCTCACCTACCACTCTGCATCCCCTCCGTGTCGCTCCGTGAATCTAAATCCCTGGCCGTCAAGCCCAAATGTCCCGTCACGACGCGCGACCAAGCTCTCGCGAAGATCCGCAGTCTCGACAGCACAAAGCCCGTCAACATCACCGCAAGCTTCACTTTCTACCTGGATCCGCGCAACTTCACCACCTTCCGCATGAAACTCAACTCCAGGGCCAACACCATCATCCTCTTCTCCCTTGATTCCGACATCCGCTACACCATTCTTGACGCCCTCCCACCCTCATCCAGTCACAAGTCTAACCCCGGTAACACGGCTCCCCTCTCCAGCAAATCCACCGGGGCCGTCAACTGGATCTCGCCCGAGCGCCAAGAGTCCATCATCTACGTCCCTCCGGCATCCGACGCGGACACCAACCAGAACTCGCAAGAAGAAGCGCGCTACGTTCTTGTTAGCCCTGGCAAGGAAATGCTCCGCTCCGTTATCGACAAGCGGGTGCGGGTGCGAGGCAGCTCCGGCGAGAAAGAGCGGTTCCAGGCCCTCGACCTGCCCAACCACGAACTCATCGAGTATGCCCAGGGCCTCTTGCTGACGGGATACTTGGGTGAGGCGTTCATGTATGTTCTCGAATGGGTTTGACACAAGCAAACCCATGATTCTTTTCTTCTTACTTAGCAAGACTCTTGAGCTTTTCCTTGGGCGCAGGTTTGACTTTGAGAATGGGATACACTCTTTTGCAACTAAATGATTCTTTCTCTTTTTCTTTGTTGTGTTATATATACAAATATACTCGGTTCTTCTTCTATATGTGATACCAGGATAATTCTCTATTTGTGATACTTTTTCTCTTCGTAGAAGTGGGGTTGGAAGATCGAGTGAACACATCATTTCCTCGCAGGCTTTCATCTGTCGAGATAGTGATTTTCTGAGATGATGAGCATGATGCTTCCGATAGTGGTATCTTTGATCCGAGTTTACAAGTATGGCATCCAAGAAACCCAAGAGAAGATCCACCGACGTCAGTAAGTACACTTGTTGCCTCTCTGGCTTTCCCTCAAAACTGCCCCTTCAGAGTCGTCCTTGCTGATGGGTTGGTGTTCTAGAAAGACCAGGCGCCGGTGGCGCCTTAAGAAAACAAAAGCAATTTCTGCACGTTTCTGCACGCGGGCAGCGCGACGTGCCGATGCCCTTTTCTGGCCATAGGATGCTCTCGATAGGGCTTCTTTTATTGGCGAACATTGCGTAGGATCCTAGACGAGGTATGGGCTGTTGTGGATATTTGGGGGACGGGGGGAAGTCATTGGATTCCTGAGGACGTATTTCTTCCCTGAAAGGTTGACATTTTGATACTGGGAGGCATTACGGTGGTTGAGTAGGCTACTTGCTGCCTATCTATCTGTACTGGGGAGACTGACTGTGGGAGTGGACTTTCAGTCGGCGTAATGACTGCTAGACTGAGAAGAATGTGATATTCTTTTTGTTTTCGCTTGTGGGTAAGAAATGCCTTCGCTATTTGATATCTCGCAGCAACTTTGTTAACCTTCCTTATGCTGATTTTCCTTTAGATCAGAGAAAAGTTTCTGGCTTCTCTTTACCATCGATGCTCTCACCTACACTCTTGATTCCCTCAGATAGACAAGACAGCATGTTCAGGAACTTACCAACCGGCTTGCTCCAGTATCAACAAGCCCTGATATCCTACGTTACCCTGTCAATCCTATGATGTAGAAGAAATGAAGCTGTAAACATCACCCACAGACGCGATCAGCCGCCTAGAGGAAGATCATTATAAGATTCTCTGTAGAAAAAGTAAATGTTGAGCAGTACTGCGAAGCTATTCACAGCAGCCCTGGTCAACCACACACGCGTCATCTGGCTTCCTCTCTCCACTCTGTGTTATCCATTCACTCAGTCTCAGTCTTGACTCTTGTGGCTTTCGATCACCTTCTCGCCCCCCCCTTCTCTTTCTATCTTCTCTATCAAAAGCCTTTTCTTCTTCTGACTCTTGTTCGAACAACTTGTTATTGTGAACAACCTTCCACATCCACATCCTCATCCCCATCCCCATCCACATAACCTCACTTTCCTCATATGAAAGGTAAGCCGTGATCGCTGTTCTTTCTATTATTTGTCCTTTGTGAGATGGAGATGAGGAAAAGTGAACCACTGAAGAGGATCGATTTCGATATTGAAAGGTGTTTCGAACACTGACTCCCTGACTGTGGTGTTTCGATATCGAAGGGTTCCTCGTACACAGACTGACTGACTGTAGTGTTTCTTGTAGTAGACAGTGATCCTCCACAAACCTATACATCGCTTCCGGGCTCAACTTCTGCTTGATATAGCAGAGGAAGGTTTGTAATCTTCACCTCTTGTGTTTCATCTTGGGCGCGAATACTGAGATTTGATGCTAACATGATCGATCGTCGTCCCTAGGCTCTGGAAAGCAGCTCTCTCTGTCAACTGAAAAACAGAAACATCGTGATACTGTTGCGTGAAACAGGTAGCGGAATAGAACGTCGTTACTCTGTTGTGAGAAAGACGCGTTCTTGTGAAAACCCATGTAAGTTCATTATTCTGTCTGTTGCATCAAACACAGCAGTGAAGAGAACTGCTTGATGATAGACTAACAGCCTTTGTAGTGCCTTGTCCATCTAAGCCTTAAGCACAGCGATCGCCGACCATGGCGCCTCTGGATGGCAACGCGTGGGCGATCAAAGCTGCCCGTGAACAAGAACGCCTGCAGCAGGTGCAGCAGCAACTGCAGAAAGAGAACAAGACGCAAAGACCCGATACTCGCTTCTCAAACGGTATGTTTGTTCTCTTGTTGCTGCATGATGCACAAACTGACAGCCGACCGACGGTATAGAAACCACTTCCACCACCACTACTTTCACTCATCCCTCGTCTCTGGTGTCGTCTAGGAACCCCAGCAGCTCTGTTAGAAGGAGTTATGATCCTATTTTTGAAGCTGCTCTCATGCCGAGGCCCAGACGACGGGTTCGCATCTCCGAAGAGACTCCCAATACTTCGGTGTATAGTGTGGCATATGAAGAGCCTGACAACTCACCAAAGGTGAAGCGGACGTATGCGGAGGTAGCAGCGCGACCCCAGCCGAAACGGTCCTTCACGCAACCGGAGGTAGCAACAACGCCCAAGGCGAACAAACGCTCCTCCACCGACGTCGAGGTCAAGACGAAACGCTCCTTCACCGAGCCCGACATAATCATCATCCCCAAGCCGACGGCGAAACGGTCGTTCACCGACCCCATCCGCCGGTTCAAGCGGGAGAAACGCCCCAAGGATGGCGGAGACCCCGGCCCCGAGCACAGCTACTGGGAACCGGACGAGAAGCCGAGCTTCCTGCAGGCCCTGCGGTCCAAGCTCTCGTTCAAGGACCTGCCCCTGCTGGGTCACAAGCCGCCCGCCGATACCTCGCTCTGGATCCGCGCCGAGGACTACCTGGACGCGGTCGACCCGGGCTGGCGCAAGGACATCGAAAAGGGTCTGCTCAAGAAACACGGGATCTGGGTTTCGGAGCCGAAGAAGAAACCCATCCCCGTCAACCCCAAGTATCCTGAAGCCACCGTCTGGCGGCCGCCCAAGTACCCGAAGAACTATAAGCCCTGCACCTGGGTCGGCCCGCCCCCGGAGGATGACTCCACGGAGGCGCTGCCGCAGTCGGATGGGGGGCGTAAAGAGAATAGCAGCAGCACGGCAGTGGGTGAATCTGCGCAGGACAAGCCTGCCGGCGACGGTGCTCAGAAGTCTGAGGTCCCGCCTGTGATTGATAAGGCGAGCGAGCAGCCCCGTGTGCAGATGCCGCCGAGACTGCATCACAGGACCGGTAATGTTGCGCAGTACAAGCCTCTCGTCATAGATAGGGTGACGGATGTGTCTGCTCACCAATCTGGCTTGCTCGATACGGATGACCAGGAGCCCGGCAACTCGACTGAGTATACACCACTTGCCATCGGTCGATCGAGATCTGGGTCCGCTCACTCTTCCAACTCGTCCACGTCGACCGTCAGGGGACCAACATCCACCGTGAAGAAACCCGAGCCCAACAAGTCCATCGAAAACACATCACTCGTCGCCGATGGATCGAAAGAAATCCCACAGCGTAACACCGACAAGACCGCGAGCACCAAGCCCCAATCGTGCAGCGACAACAAGCCCGAGGACAAGCCCCTCGCTATCGACAGCTCAAAGGGCATCTCCATAATCGACCCCGATGACAGTACTGCATCAACGGCGGCTCTGCAACCTCCACATCACTCCCCAAAGCCGGGATACGAACCGCTTGTGGTCGACGGATCTCAGAGAGTGCCCAGCATCCGCCGCAACACTGAGTCGACACCGGAGACGAAGAATCATGCGCAGCAACAAGCCCATGCCATCAATCCTGAGTATAAGGCATCGCTCCTCAAAGAGTTGCAGGGCTACCAGTGTCCGACGATTCTGAACCCAGGGCAGACGTACTCGCCGTCCGTATACGCCTCACGGCCCGCGTCGTCGGTCTTCAATTTGGATCTTCGAGACCTCCAACTCCCACCGCCAGGGTTTATCGAGCCAGAGGATAATGAACGTCGCCCAGTGCCCACACGATACAGCGTGCTGAACCCGTATGCGACACTCGTCGAGGACCCCTCGATGCGAGCGCCGGACAAAGCCCCCACCGCGTACCCGTCCTCGATCCAGACGAGCTATAACCCCCATGGATTCCATGGTGTAGCAGGACCTGCACCCCATGAGTACAGCGGTAAGATGCCGACGCCCAGCCGCGGTGGGTATGCGCCTGCGCCGCCGGACCCCCAGTATCAGAACACGGCGTCGCTGGAGTGCAAGCTGACCACGCACATCACGGAGCTGCACTACCACGTGGACAAGACGGCCAGCCGACTGAGCAAGTCCTTCGAGGACAGCAAGAACTGGCACCTGGATCGGATCATGAAGCAGGCGCACGAGATGTCGGACATCGCGCGGCTGATCAACGCCAAGACCATTGCCCAGGAGGAGATGCTGAACCAGACCCAGCGCATGATGAAGGATATTCGGTCCCAGGTGGCGGCGGTCCGGCAGGATATGCACAGTATGGAGGGTAGACTTACTGCTCTGGTCCGCGAAGAGGTTTCAAAACTGGCGCAGGGGATTCAAGGCCTCAAGGCCGCTGGACCCCCCAACCCCATACAGGGAGAGACTTGTACGAGGCTGCAGGGCCCGGAGGATGTCAAGAGCAGTTTTGGCAGCACTCAGAAGCGAGGGTCCGTGAGGCAGAGATCGCGTCTGAGCGGGAAGGGCATGCTGGAGCTGAAGCTCACCAATGTGTTGGATAGCCTGGAGCGTGCGAACAGCAGACAGACAACGACTACTAGCCCCTCAGCTACAACAACACCCACCACCCCAGCAGCTGAGAAAGTTCCGCCGCAGGGTAGAAGTGAGATTCCGCAGGATTCTGCAGCAGCAGTGGCGGACCCGCTTGGTGGCTCCAGGAAGAACAGTGAATGCGCTGCTGAGGGCCGTGTTGAACAGTCTGTGGTGTCGACACCTGACAAAGACCAGGCTGAGCTGCCCTCACCTATCCAAAACGAACCCTCACTTTCTAAAAACACTGTTCAGTCTGCCACAACTCCTTGTACTAAGGAATCTGCGTCTGAGAGCCGTGTTGAACTGGGTGAGGTGTTGAAACCTGACAAATATCAACCTGATATTCCCTCTTCCACTCAGGACACAACCTCACCCTCCAGTACCGTTCAGCCTACCACCACTCCTCGTCCCCAAAAATCCGCTTCTGAGAACCCTGTTGAACCGTGTGAGGTGTTGCCATCTAAAAAGTTTCAATCTGAGCTCTCCTCACCTCCTCAGCAAGAAACCTCACCCTCCAGCACTACCGTTCAGTCAACCCCCACCAGTCATCCCAAGACATCCGCTTCTGCTTCTGAGGACCGTGTTACGCAGTGTGAGGTGCAGACTCCCAGCAAAGATCAATCTGATATTCCCTCCCCCACTCAGCAAGAAACCTCACCCTCCAGCACCACCACCGCTCAGTCCACCTCCACTACTCGTTCGAAGAAATCCGTGAATTTCGCCGACTACCCCAACTTGGACACTGCGATTGCTGCGACGATGAGAGTCCCCGATCTGAAGGAGGTTTGGGGCTACGTGCGTCCGCATAAGCCCAGCAACACCAAAGCAAAAGCCGAGGCAGCGGCGCCGATTGAGCCCTTGCCCGAGTTGAAAACCAAGGCTCAGCTCAAGCCTCGCAACGAGCTGGAGCACAAACCTATTCAGAAGCACAGGCCCCATCCCCTCAATCTCCAGAAGGTCAATCCGCCCAGCCAGACCGGCACCGAGGTCAAGAATGACCATCATGACCGCCCGACCGCGGATGAAAGGAGCCCACGCACCCCCGGCAGCCAGAACACCACCGAACCTGCAGCAGCGGAGGAGCTGTCGGCGCAAAAGTCTCCGGCCATCACATACAGCGATCCCCGAGAGGTTCCCGAGGGCATGCGCACCGCGTTGGACCGCCACTTCATCCGCGCCATCGAGCGCGCCGACCCGTCGACACCCTGGGAGGAAGTCATCCGGACCGAGACCGCAAAGCTGATCGCCTCCAAGCCCAGCACCCCTAAGAACTACCACTACATTCTGGATCTGGATCAGTATGATCACGAGGAGGTCGACGAGGACAGCCCGATCGCGCGCCACTACGGCTCCCAGTGGGCGACCAAGAAGTACCACCACTGGATGAACAAGGACGGGCCCCGGCGCAGGTCCAAGACAGAGTCCCGACAGAAGCAGAATCTGGGCAAGGCGGCCAAGGTCCTGGACTTTGAGTATCGCGAGGATGTGAAGGGGTTCATGTCGAAGCAGAGCACGTCGAGCCTGTCAAAGAAGAGTGTTGTTCCGAGCTTGTCCAAGAAGAGTGTTGCCAGCTTGTCGAAAAAGAGTATCTCGAACCTGAGTACCAAGAGCACCAAGAGTGCCAAACAGGCCACCGCGTCGTCCGGCTCCAGCATCAAGAGCACCACCCATGTCTCGAACAAACAGGCGACCGTATCGTCAGCCAGTGCCAGTGCCAGTGCCAGCGTCAAACCCACCACCAAAACCCCGAGTACTCCAACCACCACCGGCAAGCCCACCGGCAAGCCCACCATCAGCACTCCCACCAGCATCGCAGCCAAGCCATCCAACCTCCCCCGACCCGCCGCCAACGCCAACGTGCAGACCATCGTCTCGAACATCAACACCATCGTGTCGAATGCGAAGCAGCAGCAGGAGCAGGCCGCCGCCACCGCCAGCGCCGCCCCCCGCGCCCGCAAGCCCACGACCCCTACCACTCCCACTCCCACCCGTACCACCATGGCCACCATGGCCACCGTGACAACCACCACCCACGCCTCCCACAAGACCAGTAACAAACCGCGGGACACCACCTACATCAGCAACATCCCGACCGCGACCGGCGGCTTCACGCGCATGGAGATCGCGCAGGACGTGCCCCCGCACCCGGACTACTACCCGCGCGAACGCCAGGACATCGCGCTGACCTTCCGCGGCTTCGTCGACCCGGACATCAAGTCCGACGTCATCCCGGACTACTACCCGGGCATGTTCGACAACGATCCCTACGCGCGCATCGTCGCCCCGGCGCCGCCCAAGCGCGTGGACTCGCTCGTCGCGCCCCCCGCCGACCTGCCCGAGTACCTCAAGGCGTATCACGATAAGCTCCCCGCCACCCCCGATGCCCCGGCCGTGCAGTACAATCGCGGCACCCGCCACCGGGATGCGTCCATCTACGTGCCGGAGGAGGATGAGCTGGTTTGAGGAAGGTGTGTATCTCCCTGACGTGTCTTGGTGTGGGTTGGGTTGGTTCTTGGCTGACGTGTTGTCGAGATGGAGAGGTCAGGGTGACTGACTTCACTTTAACCAAAAAATTAAAAAAGAATGGAAAAACGCAAAAGCAAAAAAAAGTTGAAAAGAGAAAACCCCTGTTGTGTTTTTCTTTTGTTGGTTAAGGTTTGTTGTATCTTTTATGGGTTGCATGAATTAACGATGACGCGAAAATGAATTATGAGTGATGAGATGATGAGAGGTGGATTGGGAGATTGAGCATGGCGTTCGTTGCACGATGGGTTGGGTTGGGGTTGGGTTCGGGAGGAATGCACGTGTTTGGTGTTGTTTTTCCTTTTTCTTGTATTGACGGGGATGATTGGAAGCTTTGTTATGGCTTCATTAAAATGGAAATGATTTCGAGTCGATTCTTCTCCAGGTTTCGGTTGAGGAAGTAGTGTACAGTAAACTACAGACGTCCTCTTGGGATAGTAGTATGAACATTTACAGAAGGGGCCAACCGTTGAACGATCAAAACTGGTATTTTTGTACAACTCGCTGGAGAAAACAGATAACACACAGGAAGCCAACGCCCTCAATTCCTTGTCACAATCATCTTCTCGATGTCCAACGCCGCATCCCGGATCTGGGGACAGTAGTGGTTCCGCAGCAGCTCACCCTCCCAGACGGTGCCCGCGAAGACATTGGTGGTCTCGATGTCCGTGGCGAACGGGTTGAAGACGCCGTCCCCTCGGCGCTCCTCGCTGTGCCAGAGCGAGGCGATGCGGCGGGCGTTGTGCCGCGCGACCTGGTTCATGAGCGAGAGCGTCGCGATCGCCGACTTCTCCGGCAGCTGGAGCGAGGAGGTCATGAGGCGCTTGGCGAACCCGCCGAGGCGGACGGGCGGCGGGTTGCCGTGGGCCCGCGAGATGAGGGTCGAGTGGAGGCAGCGGAGGAGGAGGACGGTCGGGGTCTGGAAGTTGACCTTCTTGCGGGATCGCGGCGCGTGGTGGTGGGCCGCGTGCGAGTCCGGGTCCGGCAGGCGCAGCGACTTGTCCGGGTTGTATTCGACGTCCGGGTTGATGGAGAGCGTGTACAGGGAGCGGTAGAGGTGCTTGACGAAGTAGCTCAGGTCCAGGTGGAGGTTGGCCGCCGCTTTGCTGGCGTCCTGCCCTTCCAGGAGCGCGAACGCCGTGACCGTGCACAACAAGGCTTCGCGGTGCGCGTCCCGCGTGCTGGTCGGCTGCGCATCGTTGTCGTCGTCGGCTTCCTCGGTGTGGTTCTCTTCCTCGTCGCGATCGGCGTGCGCGATCAGCTCCTTCAGCGCCTCCAGCAGATCACCGAAGAAGTCCTGGTTGATCAGGTGGGCGTATTTGGCCAGACCCTCGAGGACGGGGCCCATGAGGGTGGGGATGCGCAACTTCAGGATGCGGAAGTAGACGCCAAAGACCAGCTTGAGGGTCTCGGCTTGGTTCTTGTCCCGCTCCTCATGCGACACCAGCGCGTCCGCCTCCTTCATATCCTTCTCGACCGCCTTCCGTTCCTTCTGCACCTTGCGCTCCTTCTTGGTGCGGAACTCCCGTTTTTGCTTGAGCTTCTTGCCCCCGAAGTTCTCCTCTTCGGGCTCGCGCTCGATCCGGTCCCGGGAGGCCTTGTGCGCGAATTCCGAGAGCAGTCGCAGGCTGAGGAAGGTGTCCAGCACACTTTCGTGGACGCGGAACTCCTTCGCCTTCATCAGCTTGGAGAGCAAGCGGACGGCTTCCAGCGATACGACCCCATCCTCGTCCTTTTGGAACACGTCTTCCAGGGTTTCGCGGCACTTGACGAAATCCGCGTCGACCTGTCTCCGGGCCAGCCGATTGATGAGGATCTTCAGCAACTCGGTGCGGAAGTTGAAGTGCGGTACGGAAAGCAGCAGGTTGCACGCGCAGTTGATGGCGATCGTCTTCAAGCCCGCATCGACGGGGGCGGCGTCTCGCTTTTGCGGCTTGGTGATTTCGACCAGCTTTCCGATATAGTGCTTGTAGTTGGAGAGGAGGGACTGCTCGTAGCTGCGGAGTTTGCGCACTTCCTTGGAGATCTTGCCGGTCATGTCCTGGTCGGTGAGAGGGCGGATGCGGTACCCGGGGATGACATCCTTGTATACTGCGGCTTGCGAGGCGAGGGCGAGCTTCTGGATCGCAACGTGCTTGCTGGGGTCCACCATCTCAGCCATCGTTTTGAACAATGGGATGTGCTCCTCCGGATCTTCATTGATTAATGTAGCCAGTCTGGCAAGCTCTTCCTTCGCTTGGATGATCTGCACCTTCAGAGGGATCTTCGGCGCTTCTTCCTTCACTTCCTCCTCCTCGTCCCCGTCTTCGTCCGCGGCAGTATCGTCCATCTCCTCGTCCTCATCGTCGTCTGTCCCGAGAAAGCTGTCTGACTCCTCCGCTTCAATCTCAGGCTCCTCCATGGTCTGGAAACCCTCCGCCGTCTTGATGGGCAGTCGTGTGCGCTCCTTGTCCTTCTTGCCGGATTTGCGGGGTCGGCGCTCATAGTCTTGTTCGAGGTCCCATTCGGCGGCATGGCTGTAGAAGTCGCCAATAGGGGCGCCAGAAGGTTGCGAGGACGCATTTTCGTCGTCGCCTGGGGGGCTCACCCGTCTGCGTTTCGTCGTGCGTCCAGGCGCCATTTTGATGTTGGTGAATGGTCTTCTGCCTTTTGAGGGGGGAATCTTTTTGCGGGATTGGACTGTCCGAAACTTTTTTTCTCACTTGCTGGTGCCAAGACACGGGCAATGAAAAAGGTACAGTACCGTCACTCCCACCGCCTTCCTCGTCGGGATCCACCGCCTAGAATTTTTGTTTCCGCGGAGCTTTTTTTGACTTCAAGATTGCTCTTTTTTTGATAAACCCCCTCCAAGCATTTTTCGGTTCGAATCTCGTCCGTGTATATCTTTTCTTTCTTCTCTTTGAGTACGCCGTGTCGTACTTAGATCACATTTCATCATGCGTCAACTCACTGAAGGTTAGTCTTGCCTTGGGACTCATCTGCTGCAGACAGCGCAGTCGCTGCAGACAATTAACGCACCGGATTGCTGACTCGGAGACTCTAGAGGAGACGAAGACGCTCTTTGAGAAGCTCAGTGCCTACTGTGGACGGTCCATTTCGAATCTGATCACGGCCGGTTCCGAAGACAACGACCGCTATGTGTTCCGCATGATCGGCAGCCGCATCTACTACGTCCCGCTGTCCCTGGCCAACCTGGCGACCTCCATTCCTCGCGATTGCTTGCTGTCGATGGGTACTGCGATCGGAAAGCTTACCAAGACCGGAAAGATGAGAGTAAGGGCATACCGGCTGTGAGGGTGGGCCATGTGGTTCGGATTGACTGACGTTGTGTAGCTCCACATCACTGCGCTGGACGTGATCTCCCCTCACGCGCGGTTCAAGGTCTGGATCAAGCCGAACGGTGTCGCCCCGTTCTTGTACGGAGTAAGTTCTCTTATGGTGTTGCCGCGCAGATTTGCCGCTGGGGTACAGGGTCATGACCAACTGATGCTAATTACCTGCCAGGGCAACGTTGTCAAGGCGCACGTCGGAAGATGGTCCGATGACTGCCCGGAGCATGCTGGAGTGGTTGTGCTCGACCAGAATGATACACCTTTGGTAAGGATGCTTTCGTCGTCCGACCAGCTCTGGTCGCAATGGTCGCTGATTCATTGATTGTAGGGATTCGGAGTCACTGCTCGGTCCACTGCCGAGGCACGGAAACTCGAGCCCACGGCGATTGTTGTCTTCCGCCAGGCAGATTGCGGAGAGTATCTGAGAGAGGTGAGCCTGCTTTTTGGAAATCGAGACGGGCAGAGTGCTGACCCATTGCACAGGAAGATACTCTTTTCACGACCTAGAGAAAAGTGTTGCATACGCGGAATCGATCATGGGGTTATTTTTTATAGATACCTTGGGATTCTCGCAGGAGTTTTGGAGTCGTTTTTTTCATTGTGTGGCTATGGTTGTTCTGTCTAGAAAAGTCTTTATCCTGGTGTCTAGCCTTGTACTATGTCTGACGCATGAGATAATATCATTATTGGCATCATTTGGTACTGTCTATAATCCTGGTGTTCAGGATTGGATTAGTGCTGCATTGCACTATTGGAGCTCTGGACCGGAGTAGTTTTTCATCTCTGATATGTAGAAAGGTGTGAAAACATGGACATGTAGTATAGTGTGAATGAGTCCAGTCATACCCCCGCTTTCTAATGTGAATTCAGTGAATGACTAGACTATAGTAGCCATGGCAGCCCTGATCGACCACTTCACTGAGAGAGATCCGATATCCGAAGCAGCAGCATCCGATGCGGGGCACGTGCACGGGGCCACGGGCAACTGAACTCTCTCTCTCTCTCTCTCTCTCTCAGCGGGCAGCGGAAACCACCGCTCAATTCGGCCGATCTCCCCCCTCATCGAGAAACAAATCAAGAACTGCGACAACCAGCCGGAGGCGTTCGCAGTCTCAACTTTGGCGTTCATCCCATCGCCCCAACCTTGCTATACAAATAACACAATCTCAGACTTGCACGGCCTTCATTCTGATCATCTGAGCTTTTCTGCGCGCGCAGAGGTTCCCCCGCCATCATCATCAACATTTGATCCGGGCAAGCCACACCCCCACCACCACGTCCACCATCATCCATCATCATGCCGCCCTACTCGAGTCTGCAGAAGCAGCAAATAGCACAGTTCATCAGCTTCACGCAAGCGAAGGACACAGCGGCTGCCAAGGTAATTTTGACCGATCTCTCCGATCATGTTTCGCCCCTGTCCTATCCGGTTCATGGCTCCGAGGGCATCACGTGCGTGGGATGTGGCTAACCGGTGCTGTTGATTGGTATAGTTCTTGAAAGCGGCACGATGGGATCTTGAAGAAGCTATCAATACGTAGGTGCTTGCCTCCTTCTCGTTCATGGGATACGGTCCTACTCTCACTTCGGGGATGTCTTTTTGTGGGTATTATCATCTGATGACCCGGGTCCATCCTGCCTGGGTTGCGGTTGCGGCTTCATGGGTCGCTAGGTCGGTACTTTGTTCTTAGGTGTTTCTCTCGGAGCCAGGATGGTTTGTGGTGCATGGGCTTTGTACCAGGCGGACCAGCTCGCGGGACTCGGTGGTTATGGCATTGGGAGCTTGGCAGCTCGCCACGGGTCCATCGATCAATCGCCAAGCGCAAGCCAGCAGCCAGGCGGCCATGCAATCTGGTTCAGAGCACTTTTTCTCGCCAGACGGATAGCTTAGCCTCCGTTGCTTGCACTTCACTAAGAAAGCGATTGGTCCTTAAGCAAGTCAAGCATGGATTGGCACCGTCGCTGCAACGACATCGCCCATCTACCATCTGGCCAAGCTGCGAGCCCGATATCATTGCAAGACCACAAGCCAACCGCCAGCCCAGCAACCACAGGAAACCCTCTCCAACCCCTCTCATAGACCACCCTGCCATCTCAACCCATAGACCATCCCATCACCTCAACCGCACTAACCACCCCCAAAAACCACAGATACTTCCAAAGCCCCTCCGGCGCTGGAGCCAGCACAAGCGCGATTAACAAGATCTTCGACAGCTACAGCGGTACTTCCCCCCAATGCCCAAAACTCCCCATCCCACCCCAACTAAAACCCACCAGACTCCCCCGAAGAATCCCCCGAGACCATCGGCATCGACGGCGTAATGCGGTTCCTAGGCGACATCTCCGTGCAACTCGACGAAGTGACCTGCCTCGCCATCGCGGAGCTCGTCAAATCCCCGACGATGGGCGAATTCACGCGAGAAGGGTTTCTGCATGGTTGGCGCGCTCTCGGGTACGCCTCCTACCCCTTGCCCCTGCCCCCTTCCTTACCTTTTACCCCAATTCCCTGTTCCCCCATCCCCTATCCCCCAACCCCCTTCCCCCAGTTCCTCCCCCCTTAAGATAAAACCCTGATACTGAAAAGGGATAGAGCCGACACGCTCGCCAAAATGACGGCGCACGCGGCGGAGCTCCGCGCGCGCCTGCCCATCGAACCGGACCTCTTCCGGCGGGTGTACCGGTACACGTTCCCGCTGTGCCGGATGCAGGGCCAGCGCAACCTGCAGTTCGAGATCGCGGCGGAGCAGTGGCGGCTGTTCTTCACGGCGGAGCACGGCGGCGTGGCGTGGGGCTCGGCGACGACGCCGTGGCTGGACTGGTGGCTCGAGTTCCTGGAGGGGCGCGGGCCGCGGCCCGTCAATAAGGATCTGTGGGAGCAGGTGGAGGTGTTCATGCGCAAGACGGGCGAGGATGAGGCGATGGGGTGGTGGAGTGCGGACGGGGCGTGGCCCGGGGTGATTGATGAGTTTGTGGAGTTTGTGGTGGGGAAGAGGAAGGGTGGCGGTGCGGGTGGGGAGATGGAGGTTGAGTAGGTTTATTTGTGGCGGGGTCGTAGAGGGGATGGAAGGTTGGGTTGCGGGGTGGTTGGTTGTGGTTGGAAGGTAGATACGCATGCAGTGGTGTTGATGAATGGATTCTCTATCGTGTTTTCAGGTGGAGAGTTGTAGGATGTAGTTGGTTGACTCGGGGTGATTACTGCCACGAGGGAGACTAAGCGCAGCTTAACGGTGTCAAAGGGGCTTAAGGTATGGATTTTCATTTGCGGTTCGAATGGCGATATACTACGTAAATATGGGTTCATCATGGCAGAATAGACACTCGTCGCAACGCCACAGCCATGAACGGGACATATCACAAATTAAACATCATTCGGGGCGGGGGCACGGGGCGGGGGCACGGAGCGGGTGGTATAGGTAGATCGCGTATGTAGATGGCATAGGTGAAAGAGGTGGTCGTCATGGGTATATTGGCCGCATTACCCTCAATCGACCAGCGATGGTCATGGAGGTTGGAATTTCATATGTACAGTATTTACCGGTAGTCGCCCTTGTCGTACTCGCTGCCGGGACCACGACGCTGGTCGTAACGCTGGTATGCGGTTAGCACTGTTCCACCTACAAAATAACAGGGGGCTCACCTTCCGGAGCGCTTCGAGGCGCTTCTTCTTCGTGTGGGTGTTGACGTAGGTTCCGATGACGAACCCGACAATGTTGAAGAACGGCACCCAGGTGTGCTCCGGCAGGAACTTCTGCGCAAAGGCCAGCGCGATGGGCGAGGTCACCCAGCTGACCTTCATGACGGGCATGAAGCCCGCCCGGACGGTGGCGCGGACCTGGTGAATGGTGCGCGCACCGGCAATGACCGCCATGCTGGTCAGGTACACGGCGTTCTGGATGGGGGAGACCTGCGGGCCGAGTCAGCGGATTGGAATCCCTCGTGCATCGCGTGCGACACTTACGAGCAGGTTGCTGGCCAAGATCTGCAGCACCTTGGCCTTCAGGCTAGTCCGTCCAGCGAACACCTTTTGGAGAATCCCGATCAGGAAGTGGCCCAGCGGGGCGCTGATGAACATGCCGTACAGGACCATCTTGGGCACCCGCGGGCTGAGGTAGTGGCCGTTCTTGCTGACATCGTGCGCGATCCAGGACGCCAGGATCTCCTGCAGACCGGACAGCACTCCCGACGTCAACATCTTGGTGCGCAGGGGGTTTTGCTGCAGTTGGCGGAGGTAGAGCTAGAGTCGGCCGAGAGAGAGCCAGTCAGCCAGAGTTGTCCGGGAGGGTTTCAAACGTCAACACCAGAGATCAACGTACGTTGAGATAACCCCCGCCAGTCAGTCGCTCACCGACTTTGTGCACCAATTCTTTCGTGTCTTTCCGGAGGGAGGTGACGGCCTCATCTTGGAATTTGGCGGACATGGCTGCTGCTGCTGCTGATGGATCGAAGGAAGGAGATTAAGCGCGCGATCTAGATGATGTGGGTAGATGAGCGATCGGAGATCCGAGATAACGATGGTGACGGCAATTGCGGAGAGATAGCAGGGCAGTAAGGCAGTCTAAGGTGATCGCAGGAGCTGTAAGTAAGAGAAAACCATTCGGGGTTGCAATGGACAGTAAAAGCAACGGAGGGATGCGGATAGAATAAGGTGTGGTGAGTGAGTGGGTATTGTTGGGGGACAGACTGGGGGGGGGGGGAAAGGGAAATTGGCAGGCAAATGGTCGGATGGGCGTCCCGCGCAAGAGAGGGTCGAACCAGGGGTTGGTTTGTTTATCGGCTGAAGTGGAGGAGGAGGAAGAGGGAAATGGCCCGCGATGAGGAGGCTGGAAGCCGATGGGTTGGTTCAGGTGGTTCAGGTGGTTCAGGTGGTTCAAAGGCTGGTAATAAATCAGTGCTTACCGAGGTTACAACTCCAATCGATTGGAACCAGCACACGTCAGTCAATTGCTTGTACTGTCACAATGGAAACACCCGTTGGGAAAATGTAGTAGTAGTAGTAGTAGTAGTAGTAGTAGAAGTGGAAGTAGACCCAAGATTCTGAAGGGAAATAAGCAGAATGACAACAAATACAATTCAGTTTGAAGCTGGAGGAGGGTGAGGGCGAAGGTGAGGGCGAAGTCGGAGGAGGAGAGAGACAGTCAGTGGCAGTCAGTGGCAGTCAGTGGGAAACTGGAAGGTCAAACCGGCCACGAGGTCGGCAAATGGAACAGAAGTTACAGAACAAATGGACCTCGCGTCAACTTTATACCTGTTTTGAGTAGGTAAGGCCTCCGTACAGTACGGAGTACAGTACGGTAAGATCAGCTCAGCTCGGTAGGGATTCCGCCGCGGTCCTTCGGTCACCTCCGACTATGTACATAACAACTACCGCAGGTACTCCACCATCACCACTACTAACTTTGCTTCTGTATCTTCATCTATAAAAACAATCAAGATGTTTAGATGTTTTGTTCTTTCGCAGTTTGTTGCAGCTAACAATGACTGGAAACATCTTGCACGGTCTTCATCAGAACTCTCAGGTGCAGTAATACCAGGATGAGCTCGGAAAGGTCAGCCTATTTCGGATAAGTGCAGGCCGTTGATGTTGACTGAAGGTGATAACCACCCCCAGGCAGGGCTGTTCTGCTCCTAGATACTATATCTGTACTTCAACCCCTTCTTCCAAGAAATCCAGGCTCATGTACTAACAGACATGTAGGTAAATGTAACCAAGTCCAATGCCAAAGAGTTTCCTAGAGAAGAATTCAGTATACTTTCTTTGTATCTCAAGATCGATAGCCAGTGCATTGGCCAAGTATAGTCTACCACTGCACTGCTGTGACTTCATCCATCAGAGAACTAGGGCTATCGGCAACCATGTGAGCTTCTGCTCAGACTGCGCTCGCCTTGGTATTTGCGCTTTCTCTTTTGCGCTCAGGTCAGCCAGAGCGACATTATGCACATCCCAACAAAACAGAGGGTCGCCCCCGACGATTCCCATCTGCCCCGACGCAATGTTACGTTCACTGGTGAACATGAGCGTGTTCTAGCTAGCTATCTCATTTTCTGCTGTTCTCTGCTTTCTCTCTCCCTTTCGTGTTCATACGTCCATGCTTCTTGTCCTTTGCTATCTAGCGTTCTCAGATCACGGAATAGATACACCTCAGTTAGCTATCCAGTAGGCGGCTCACACGTCTTCTCCATCCTGTAAAGCCTCCAGCACTGTTCTCACGCAGAAGAAATGAAAAGGCTTTCGGCAAGCAAGTCCAACACAGAGCCGGACTCCTCGTCCAACATGGACACCTCAGCGGAGATCCCGGCAACACTATCTGACCATGATCCATCTCATCCCGCAGATACTCCACATGACCAAGAGTCTGAGCTCCATGTCTCTGTAGAAGTTGCATCTGTCGAGAACAACCGCGTGGGTAGTGCTGAGAGAGCCATCGAGCATAGCCCCGAGCAACAGGAACCGGCCGAAGCAACCGAGCACAATCATGTCCCCGCCTCTGAGCCTTCAGAGCTTGAGGAGACCGACCCTCTTCAGAGTCAGAGACCATGGACTGGCCGTGACTTCGAGACAAGCTTGCACTTTGCAGAGCGCGTCACAAGCTGTCCTCGTTCTTCGTCTCTAAGGTATTATCCCGCCCAAGCCAACCCTCTACCCTCCACAACCAGTGCCTACGTCCATACTAACAGTCCATCCAGCTCTATCAGAGGAATAACAGAGCCGCTGTTCGAGCGAGATTCGGTCCTGTCGCCCGGCCCCGCAAACAACAGCACCGCGAGAGCCAAGCCGCCATCTACCGCAGGTAGTCACAATCAAGCCAACGGCGTCAATCGAACGGCGATCGCAAGAGTAATCCTCGCTCGTATCGACCGAGACCGAGACCCGATCTTCTATGGGCCCGTGAACCAGGCAGTGGAAGACGATCGTCCATGGGGGCTCCGCTCGTGTAAACATGGCAAAATGGACCGGGTGCCCCTCGTGGATCCAAACGAAGTGTGTGACCGCTGCGGCCGTAGACCGGCGCTCGGCTGGCTGTATCAGTGCTCCGTGGACGAGCCCGGTTTCGGGGACCCGAATGGTACCAGAGACGGTGAGGTGCTAAGTTCGTGGATGGTCGACGCTATTAAGGCTGGGAAGTACACGGATGCGCAGAAGGAGACACTGCTCGAACAGAAACTCACTGTCTTTCGTCGGGCGTACGAAGAGAGAGTTGCCTACAACGAACGTGATTCGAGGGTCACCGTCTTCCCTTCCATGCACAGAGCGGAGGAGCAGAATACTGACTCCGATGACGATGATGGCCCCCATGTTCAGCTGATTGAAGATGTTCAGCAGAGCCGTAACTCGAACGCTACCAATGCTTCATCCACTGCCGGACAAGTGAAGCATGGAGAGGATATTCCGCAGAATGTCCGTCGCAGTCCAGACTCTACTACTCAAGGCGTGCTTCCAGTCGCAGACTCTGACACTTCAGCTTTCCCACTACAGTCTATCCCACATTGCAAGTGGCGGGCTTGTCATCGCTGCGTCCCTGCACACATGGAACGAGCATGGGACAGCATCGACGCAGTGTGTAGACCCGAATTCCCAGCCCCGGGTGCCTTCAACTTGGGCGAGCGGGTGGTCGTGAACGCAGTGTTCGTCTCCAATCTAGGGCAGCGACCCAACCCATCCCCCACTCCTCCTCCGGTGCCCCGATACTATGGAGGCGAGTCGCAGCCCGCACGAAATGCCGTGTCGAGCTATCGTGGCGTAGCCCGCTTATCATCCTATCTCCCAAACGCAGCCACCGGGTCTACATCTCAGAGCTCCTCTTCTGCCTCGAGAGTGACAAGCCCTGCGTCCAGGTCGACAGTGAATCTACCGTCATACATGTCGACATCGACCAGTGATGCTACCAGCTCTGGCTCCCAGTCTTCGTATGCCTCCTCACCCACAGGAGATTTCAGCAACCGATCTCCATCAGTGCTACCCACCTACCCCGTCGCCCGACACAACAGTGCATCG